AAGTGATCCTATAAGGGTTCAGTTTTTTCCTTTTTAGGACGTTTTTTCCTTCAAAAACTAGAGCACCTAACGAAGATCTGTTTTCACCTAAATTTAGTTTCTAATTAGTCGAAATGTGTCGTCAAATATCAGAATTTGTCGGTTACTGGTTCAAAAGTTATAAGCGTTTCTAGGTAGCCGACCTAGGGAGAATCTTCCCAGGTCGGCCACGCTTATATCTCGAAAATTAGGGCACCTAGCGAAGATCTTTTCTCTCGAGTGCGAGGGCTATTTCGCGTAATTCAAATAAATATTTTTCTACTTGGGTTGTGCGCGAGTGCGCAAGGCCCTCCAGAAGCGAGGCACCGGGCGGATGCCCTGCTCAGCACCCCTTGGGCCGCCACTATTTACCGAATGGCCTTACTTATCTTTACGACATTTTCACAGTTGTATGTCGACTTTTGAGTTTCAGTGATCATCATCTTTAACTATTACCTGGTTAACTCACTTCACTCTACCAACATTATTGATCACGAACTTAGTCACAACTACTAAGTAAGAGTTGATTTCCTCATTTTGTATTACATATTGTGGGAAGTTCCTGCAACGTTAAGTAGGTATTTATTTTTGTAGACCAGCTAGTATTCTTAAAACGGTTTTCCTATGTACAAGGTTTCAATAAACAACATTAATGGAGAAAAAAGGAGAATTACACTGAAGGGTAACCTATGTACCTATATAAATGTTTGTAATTGAGGTCACATCCGATTTTTTTTTTAAAAGGTTTACTTTTTTCGTTATAAGCGAAGAAAACCTAAACCACATATAGCTCAATTCAAACTAAAATTATTACATTTTCAATTCCTATTTATATATAATCACGTTAAAAAAAAATTAGGGCATTCCTGCTTCGGTTGTAGACATGCAAAATATTAGTTAACGTAGGACTATTTTTAGCAGAATTCAATATTACTACGCCTTTCTGTCCGATGCATTCTTAAGGTGCAATAAAATAACCATAAGTATTCTAATTTACAGAAGGCTATTAGTCTATTGCTATACAGAGAGAATATAGTCAGTGGTGGATTATCCCTAAGTTCCAATGGGTTACAAGGTTAGAAAGGGGCGCGCGCGCAAAATTGTTAAACGAAGAAAAAATATATGCCTAACAGAAAAAGAATTTTGTCAGTAAGTATGCACATACTTACACAATACTCGTATACTTCCTTCTATACAAATGCTCAAGGTTGACATCTAGGATTCATATTACCTAAGTAATTGCCATAATTTCTTAGCTTTTATTTTCTGATACCTACGAAGATTGAGGCAGGGGCATGTACACAAAAATGCAGTTGCTACAACTGCAGCTGTAGTGGAGATTAGTCTGAGATTAGAGATTAGGTTGAGATTAGATTTTGTAGTAATAGACCGGGGTTGTCCAGTCAATGGCACTACACGGTACAACGGTGTTCTCTCTGCTCTGCAACGTAGCTCTGATCGACCAGAATAAGGCGCGCTCTGAGAATGCTAACCCTTAAAAGGTGCTGGCGGATCTCTGCTATGAGATTTAGAGGCGAAAATGAGTGGCTAAAGATCTTTGGTCGTCCCGGCTTTAAGCTCCACGTACTTGGCGCCGTGAAGACAGTCCAGCCGGTCATTATCCAGTGGGCAGGGTGGCAGAACGGGACCCTTTCCTTCCGATTGATACAGGTCTTTTCTGGGCACGTCTGCTGAGGGAGGTACAAGCAGTCGATCGCTAGGAGTCAACTGAGTTGCGCCTGTCACCACTGCAGTGCAGTTTGAACCCGGCACATCACACACTGGTCAACGTAGAGTCAGGCGGTCATTGCAGTCATCGGAGATAATTTTTCGCTACCAGCCGTTACACGCTGGATGGCTGGCGCGCCTTCTAGCGCCTCATGCCACCGTGAGTGTGGTCTCAGTTAATCGGGTTTTCCCCTCCACTCAGGCTAAGAAGGCTTACCGCGAGGAAGTGACGACCTTGTGTGGTAGACGTCTTGTAAATGAGAGTTTATTCCCGAAGGTGGTGCCCGCCCTTTTAAAAGGCAGGAGCTAGGAGGGGTCCGGAGCCATCCTCTACGCAAGTAGGAACGGTCTCGGTGCGCGTGAAATGACGTGCGGTGTTCCGATGTTAGAGCCACTCCTGTGGAATATCAGCCACGACATGGGTGCTCCGCGGTGCCTTCTTGGATGGTGTCGTCGTCCTTCACATAGTAGGAGGCACTCGCATTGACATCGAGTCCTCGATGAGGTATCTGGTATTTAAGGATTGGCTCGAGAGGAAACACGGAACCATCTCACACCGGCTGAGGAGATCACTAGTGTCTGACCCGCAAGGAACCAATGCTGTGGCCAGAGCGTGGACACGACGCTCCACACGCTGCTAGAGTGCCCGGCGTGGCGTGGGTGGAGCAACGGCGTGGCCTCCTGACGGCCATCGGAGTGCGGATTCTCTTTCCACAAATCTGGCCTTTTTCGTTGAATTTGCTCTCTTAAATGCGGCATAACTCTCAAATAATATTCGATCGACTCGTGAGACACAGGAAGTTCGGCGGCTATCTTTCTCAAAGTTGAATGAGGATTTTCAGTCACTATTTCCTTCACTTTGGGATGTTAACTTCAGTTGCAGACGTTGATGGTCTACCAGAGCGAGGCAAATCTTCCATCACATCTCGACCGCCTCTGAAGGCTTTTTACCACTCATAAGCACGTGTTTTTGATAAAGTCGATTCACCGTAAGCCTTCTGTAACATTTTCAGTGACTCCGAACACAAAATTCCATTGGCGATGCAAAATTTAAGATAAATTTTTTGTTCGATGTTTTTGTCCATTATGAAATTCGCAATACACACTAGATATGATAATAACTAAAAACAGCACTGTATTTAATATAAATAACAGATGCAACTTAAACTCCGCGCCAAAATGGAAAACAGTTGTGCCAATCTAATAACAACAAAAAAAAACTTTTTTTATTTATTTAGAACCATAAACAAATCATCCATTTCCGATACTTTTTTGACTGAATGTATATACCATCGCAGATTTTTTGTAGGTCTTTTTAAGATATACAATTCCACACTACATTATTTTGATCTATCTGGTAAGGTTTAGCCAGCGTTTGCAATTTAAGCGCACAAAAAAATGCTTCTTAATAACTTCACATTACAAATCTTTGAAATTCTCGGAATTCCTTTACTATAATATGCATGTATATTATATATATATATAAATATTATATATATAAACCCGTCTCTTGAATTACTCTATTGCTGAAAACCGCATTTTAAATCGGTTGCGCTGTTTGAAAGATCTAAGCGTACAAAAGCATTATTTTTAAAACTGATGTAGCATTAATCTTCGAGAGATGATATTAATTAGCATGGTTCAATGGCAATGCAATGCACTGTTGCATTATGTAGATCCATTTTAAGTATTTTGCAATTATCTTAATTTAGTCCGCGTTTTCTATTTAATTAAGATAAATAGAAATGGTAGAGTAGTGCGAGTATGTACCTACTTACTTTACTATAATCAAATACAATGACCAATTTCGATCACATCTACAAAAAGGTACATGTACATATTTGTTGTTACATATTATCATTTCCGTCTTTCAACAGGTGTCAAATGATGATGTCTGTATGCATAATCACAAGCCGCTGCAGTACGGTAGAAACGGCTTATTGTATAAGAAAACAATCATAACAAATCCGAGCAGCTCATATCAAAACAAAAATGAGTTACAATACAGCAGTAACCAAGAAGCCGTGATGTTTAGGGATATTTCTGTGTAAGTCCGTAGGGTAAAGCATCATTGTGACTAATCACTAAATCCTAAGCCTAATTTGGGGTAGCATTGCTAGAACGAGAAGAACATCAAACTCATTTTAATAATAATTTTACACGTCTCACACATGATAGTCTGATCCCAAATTAGGCGAAGCCTGTGTTATGGTAACTAAACTGCTGATAAACAAATTTAAATACTTCTAAATACAAACATATTAACGATAAGTTACACCCAGGCACAGAAAAAATGATTGTGCTTATCACACAATTGTTTGTCCTGGGTGGGAATCGAACCCACTAACTATTTGGCTTACCAGTCAGTAACACTAATCACTAGATAGTGAATTTTTTAATTTTTTTATTTAAGATCAATAGGCCTGTCAAAATTGTATTCTGCTTCTACCAGAGGTAACTATAGGTAGTTATAGCTAAAAAGTAAATATTTATAAATATTTGTCTGATTAACAACAACTGTGCAGGTAATTTAAGTACCGTATAATAAAGGTTTTATCATGTACGGAATGTAGTGGCAAATCACTTCAGATCTCCGGCTTTCAGGGGACGCCATCATTCTGTTGCCACTAAAAACCAACCTGAAGGCTTGCCTCAGGCGTCCTCCTTTGGGGAGGACCATGTAATTTCAGGTCCCCTGTAAATATGTACCTACCTAGATTTCGGACTTTATAACTTCGTTTTTCGATTTTTTTTTACAAACACTTCAAAACCGAACTTGATCTTAAGCGAAATGGCACTGGCCTACGAGGATACAGTTTTAATGTTTTTCTTTTCGACGCTGGATGGCATACAAGTTATTAGACTAAGATTCCTCATTCAACTCAATATATAGGTAGTGAGTATAGAACAGTCTCAGATTTCTTTTACTGTTGAGTGTGAAATTGTGAGTTTATTACGTTTTCACGTCTTGATTAATCGGTTTATTACCATACAATTTCATACACAGATCAGAGGTACCGAGAAAGTTATAAGATCATCTAACCCTTTCAACTAGAAAAAATACTATTCCTGAGTGAAAATAATGACAAAATCTACATTCATGTAAATCTAAAATCGAAGAAGAAATAGTTCTGAAAAGTTTCATCAAGCGTGTTCACCCTACAATCGCGCGACTTCTTCAAAATATGCGGGTATAAAAGCTGGTTCTACTACATCAATGTATCAGTTGAGTGTACTCCACAGTCGCAGTCAATATGTCTTCTTCAAAAGTTTTGCTTTGTGACCTTTGCATCGTTCTACTGGTTGGTTTGAGCTTTGTATTAGGTGAAGATCGACCCCACACGTAAGTATATTTTGTAACCTTATCTACGAACAAACAAACATGACGGCTTGGTGGGATTTTACAAAAGTAGGTACAAATAACGAGAGCGAATTACTAATAAATGCAATTAATTGTGCAAACTGTTGACTCATGGTGACATCTAACGAAATGTATCGATCTCCATCCGAAAGAGGGCGGTCGAAAGTCTACTTAATTGCTAAAACATTAATAGGAAACGTTAACAAAAATACTGTTAAGGCGAACTGTACCTGACTATTTATTACAAATATTTATTTATTACAATTTATTATACATTAAAAAAAACTGTAAGCAAGAAAATTAAACCTTATACCTATTTCTTAAATCCCGTATGATTTTCAATTGAATGACATGTTGTTGATCCGTGATCCTACAGAATTCTTCAACCTTCTTTTTAAAATATCAAACACAACTGAGATCATAATCTAGTTAATAGGTAGGTAAGTTTATCAACTCGAATTAAGTTTTAAACATTTGTGAGACAACCTTAAGCACCTACTTTAACCATTACAGTCAGCGAATCAGTTCCAAAGAAGTAAGGTGTTAGGTAAACCCTAACCATCTCTTTAAGTAAAATTGTTTGTACTAACGTTAACTAGTAAAAACACTACAAATTGATGTTTTAAAACAATTCCTTTCTATAAGAGTCAAATCTCTTTCCTCTTGAATTTTTTAATTCCTACTTGTGCGTTTTTCAGTGCACCATCAGTAGATGAAGGACCCAAGGGTAACTGCTCATGCGGCGGATTCCCTACAAGCACAATTGATGCAAATGACCTACCTCTGCTATCTCAAACTCCTGGTTTGATGGTAAAGTGTGATTCTGAAGGCGAAAACACATGTAAAAGCCTTTGTAATGCGCTGGCTACTGCAACCAAGGCCAAAGGCCCTGAGGTTTTGTGCAACAGATTGAAAAATGCCAATGAGTTAAAGGTATATTACAAGAAACTATTTAACTGATAATTTTAAGTGCCAGTCATCTATCCCTAATTTAGACACCGTCATTAGTGTAATAACAATTTTTTTGCATTTTCGAGAAATACAACCATGTATGACATAATTAACTTTTTTTAAAGTGTTTTTTCAATACTAATCGACGATACTTTTATTGCAAATTATGATCTAAATTTTTCACCTTTAGAGGTGGAATTCAACTTTGAGAATTAGCAAGTTAATCAAACAATAGAGACCAAGTGCTCATCGGTTAGACTCTGTGTAGGTTTCCGTGGTTTATTGCAATAAATACAGTATTAACAAATGCATCCATCTGCAACTCTACAGCCCCGGATCTAGGGGGGAGGGGGAGGCAAACCGGGGCTCCCGCCCGGGGCGGCAGTTTCAGGGGGCGCCAAAATCATATTATAATACTGTTTAAAAAAAAGCAATACATATATTGTTACCTCCCAATCACAAAAAAATGCCAACCATCATAATATACTCGTATTGGTGAATTTTTTAGTTATTTACTTCAAACGCTGGAGAGAGGGCGCGGTATTATTAAGTTTTTGCCCCAGTTCGAAAAAATCGTAGATCCGGTGCTACAACTTAGTCACAAATGCGTTGCCGCGTTTTGAGTCTTCCCCCCAGAAAGTGTGACAACATGACAGGGTTTGGGATCCGGTAACTTCATCCACTCGGTGAAAAGCAACGAAAAAATGCTTAACACCGGTTTTCGGTGAGGCCGTGCTATCACTAAAAGGTCGAGCCGGCTCATTGTTATCGAAGCATGGCTCTGCCACTTACAAGTAGTTGTAGTCTGTAGAGTTGTGTTTCCCCTACAAGATTGTAGGGGAGACACTTAACATTACAAAAAAAAAAAACTTAAAAATTTAATGTAAAATATCTGAATAACGACAAAAAAAGATGATCCTGTCTTACGCGAAAAAATCCTTGGACGGCGTATAACCTCTTACTACTTTCTGTTGCAGTTGTCAGCTTTCTTCAAAGTGTGTGAGCTACCATGGACATACGCCAACCTGACTGCCGACGAGCCGCTGTGTTGCGATGACGCTAAAGTTAAGACGTGCCCTTCGATGGAGAAGAATAATACTACAGACACAACAGAAGCCAAGCCCGTCGCATAAAAAAAAACATTATGTAATAGATTGTAAGATTAACATGCATCTACTTATTTATGGTCACCTAGTAAATTTATGAATTTGATTAACTATAATTTCATTTCATTATCTTTCAACCTAACACAGAAATGTAGAAAACGTATCCTTTGCTGACCACGAAGAAATGAGCGAAACAGGTCATCAAGCCACGTCCTCGCTAAAAGCACGCTAACGATTGGGAGGAAGGGTACAATAGATCTTGGCCTAATCAGCTTTATAGGTAAATATCCTATTGTTCATTACATGGTTTTTAATTAGCTGCTTTTAAGATATTCAGCCATTACATCAAACAAGACAGACTCTGTTAGTCTGATGTGAACCCGTCTCGCAATAAAAGATGAGATTAATTATGAAACGAACGTTATATGCCAGGATTTTTAAGTGTCAAAAGAAAGGGTTAAAAGAATGTTGTGTAACAATAGAACGGATATTTACCTGTAAAACGTGAATAGTACACAGTAACTACAAGCGAACAGAGTGAACCTAAAGACTTTATTGGCTTTGTAATAATTAAACAAAGAAATAGGGATAAAACCGTATATTTACAACTAATTTATTTTATGATTGTATATTTTTGTACATTGGTTTTATAAAACTTGTAAAATTTACCAGCCTTACAGACGAATAGCTCAAGAGTAATAAGTAGGTAGGTATGTAGACAATTACCTATATCGAAGTGATCTATAATACAAGATAAAATTAATGAACAAGTAACCTTCTAAGTAATGTGTTCTTTAAACATTGTGTTTTTACAAACACAGGCATAGGGCAAGAAGCTATTGTTAATAATTAATAGTTCTAAATTGAATCAAACTAACGTCTTACACTTAACATATATCAGTGCCATTCTAATAAACCTTTATACAGGTGTATTTAATTTTCCTTGCAAATAAGACAATTATCTTCTTAAAAGTATGTTACATTTAAGGCTAACTGGGAACCTATGTAAAAACGAGCCTATGTACAAGCCAGCCTAGGTACTTACACTACTACTAGGCCTATTAGGTACTTCACAAACTATTTAGTCTATTAAATTTGAAACAAACAACATACTTGTTTATTAGAATTGTTGAAATTTTACATTTTTGGTTTATTTTTAAATATTCATGAACGTAAATATTCTATTAAGTAAATTAGAATACAAAAACATTTGATGAACAAGTGGAATACCTACTGAGTATCTTTTAAAGGGCGTTTCAATGTTTTCTGTATGTAAGTATTCGAGTTAAAAATCCTTGCATAGATTTAGTATATTCGCAAATTACGGGATGTAGACTTTCTCAGTCGTTCATCAGCGATAGGTAGTGTACAAATCATTGATTAACGACTGAATTGAATGTTTTGATTTAAATAAAAACCAAATGGTTTCACCATTGTAAAAGATTCAAATGAAACCATTAAAATTATTTGCTACAAATGATCCTCCAATAACAATTTAGGAACAACAACAAGTTCAAAACTACCATTATATTCTTTCACTAAAATATTAATTGTGCAACAAATAATCCATTACTTCAACAAAATATCTAATATGCTTCCAAGAACCGGTTCGGAGTCAAACACTTTTGTTTCTTTTTTTTAATTAGGTAATATTATCAAACAAACAAAAACTTGATCATTGTTCTGATTTTCACTTGATTTACTGTTCAGAGGAGTATTGTTAAACAGAAAAATGTTGGAAAAAAAACCTTTTTACTCTTTTTCATTCGAAACCTTCGAATTTAACTTGCGATTCAGCCAAGGACATCCAAAATGTTTTTATGAGAGTATATGGATTTGGTTTAGACACATTCAAAATGATGGGATTGTGCCAAAAATAATATGGTTAAAAACAAGAAGTCAGATTACTACACAAAATACTTCAGAAACGTTTTCGACACATATGACCACACGTGTTCAACACTGGCAGCTTTACTGAAAAATTTGAAGAGTAAAGAGCTTTTGTTTTTTACTTCAATGAAGAATGGATATCACAAAATACGAATAGGTGCCTAGGCCGCTAAAAGGATCTTTACCAAAAAACAAGCCTTCTTTTAATAGAAGCGTAAAAGATAGTCACATTCTTAAAGAATACATTCCACCATCCTGATTTCGTGATTTTTTAGGGTGCCGTACCTCAAAAGGTGAAAAAGGAACCCTTATTAGATCACTTTCTTGTCCGTCTGTCACCACCGATTTTCTCAGGACCGGGTAGACCTAGCAAGTTGAAATTTATACCAGACACTGAGGTCTATGGTCCCTATTAGGTGTATAAAAATCAAGGGCCTGAGTCAACACGATAAAAAGATATGGGCAAATTTCGATTTTCGCGAAAACTTGTAAGTACCAAAATTTACCTTAATTTTCAACTGTTTTTATTTTTAGAATTTTCTCTTTACTTGTGCTGTAAGACCTTGTTTTAAACCAAATTTGAAAATTCTAGGTTAACCGGAAGTACCCTATAAATAAATTTAAATCAATTTTTGTTTTACTTTTTATAGATTTGCAACAGTTATTAAATAGATGCTCGTTATGAAATATTCTAGTGCATTATTCGATTTTTTGTGAAGCTAATAATAAATTTGGGGAAAGGAACTAGTAATACTAATACTACACATTTGTTAAATTCTCGTTAAGCGCAGTTTATTAATAGTAGCAGTCATTCGTGTCCATTCCCAACTTATGCCTTTGTTCTACTGGGAAACGATGGAAGTTTTTATTAATAAAAATAAAACCTCGGTCTATCACTGACAGCCCGTTATTGGGGATAGCAGGGAATACTTTATGCAGGATAAAATAGCTTTTATTTTCAAAATATTAAAAAAGTATTGCATTGCGTTGAGTATTACAGTGGAATTTCAATGATTAAATTAGTTTTTAACGGAAGGATTCGTCTTTTACAAAATCATGGGCTCGTGTGCATAATTAAAAATTCATTTCATAAGAGATTAGTTGCTTGTGACCAGGAAGATATTAACTTTGAAGAAAACGTGATACAGTTTTCAGACTAGTTCACTTTTAACTCAAAGCTAATCAACTATGCCAAGATTCCTAACAAATAATGCCGATAAAAATGATGTACTTGTACAATTATTTTTCTTTTAATATCGGAAATTCTTTCTTAAATAAAATTTACAAATATTTAGCTTCTCCTTTGCCAAATCTAGTATTCAAGTCTTGAGCTTTCTTGATGATGGACTTCTTTTGAGCTTCGTCAAAACGGTTAACTTGAAGATCCACATCGCGGCTGAACGGACGGCGTTCTTTCTTACCATCGTCCTTCTCTTCCTTCTGGAGAATAAAAAAAATATAAAAAATAACGAAACAGGGTTCCGTACCTCAAAAGGTAAAAAAGGAACCCTTATAAGATCATTTTCTTGCCACCGATTTTCTGAGGAACGGGTAGACCTAGCAAGTTGAAATTTATACCAGATACTGGGTCTATGGTCCTATAAGGTGTATAAAAATCAAGGTCCTGAGTCAACACGATAAAAAGATATGGGCAAATTTCGATTTTCGCGAAAACTTGTAAGTACCATAATTTACCTTTATTTTGAACTTCTGTTTTTTCTTGTGCTGTAAGGCCTTGCTTTTAACCAAAATTGACAATTCTAGGTCAACCGGAAGTTCCCTATAGGTTTTGGCACAAAAACCTATATGGTAGTTCCTGTTGACCTAGAATCACGAAATTTGGCAAAAAGAAACGTCTTACAGCACAAATAAAGGAATAATTAAAAAAAATATATATTTGAAAATTAAGCTAAATTATACTTATACTTTTAATTTATACAAATTTTCGCGAAAATCTACGTAAAATCTGGGTGGGTACGGAACTCTCGGCGCACGAGTTCGACTCGTACCTGACCGGTTTTTTTTTTACTAGGCTTAGACTTCAGGGCAAGTCTTTTTGAGTTATAGGTATGCGACCTTATTCCGACTGACTTTAAGCAAATATAAATTTACTTTTATTACATTCCTTAGAGTACTCAGTTCTTGTGAAATAATACTATTTATTGTTTGTGTATATTGCTAAAGTTGTAAAGCGATTCAGTTTTCCACTAACATCAATTCATTAGGCTTATCCAATATACAATTATTCAAGTCCAAGGTCAAAAAGTGTACAAAAAAAATTAACACATACCTTTTTCTTCTTTTTCAATTTCTTCTGATGCATCTCTAGCAAGCTTTCTTCTCTCTTGTGTTTCTTTTTATGTTTTCTGTAAAGATAAAATATAATACGAGGTCAGGGGGTTAAAAGAAATGCAGAGAGAAAGGAATTGCGATGTTATGTCTACAGGCAACTAATAAATAACGAGAGTATGTAAATTAGAGTTGGTTTGCATGACTTGAGTGTCAATATGTCAACAATATTGCAGACTTGTTTTACTCAGGCCAGATTTTTCTGATCCCACTCAGATACTGAGCAGTGCTTTCGATTTTTGACACAAGTTCCTAGCGACCGCCTAATACAATAGAACCAGGAATATTTACCGTGCATAGCAATGATGTCATTGTTGGTCGGCATTTCATTCCTAACAGTTGAACAGTTGAGGATAGCACAAAACGTTGCAGGACGTCGGAAACCGCCGTCTACTACGACTACGGTGGTAATTCATATTATTAGCTAGACGGCAACGACGCACAAATACTTTTATTAGGACTGGTAATAATATTCATGAGTAAGTACTTAGTACACTTAGTAACTATATTAAATGTGAACTGTCCTTTACATTAAATTAAAGACTTTGTCTTGTGAAAGATTGAGATTAACTTCGATAAATAATCATGGTTTACATATATGTACATGACTCACTTAATAGCGGATTCTTGTTCTTCGTCTCTGTTAATGATATGACGCATTCGGGCTTCTTCCTTCAACTGCGTGTCTAAGTCTTCTTCTTTCGTGAGCCCTGCTGCTTTCCTTGCTTTTTCTTTTGGGGTATCCGTCCATGTCGATCTGTCAGAACAAAAATACATTAATATCATTTGTATATCTTGTGTATCTCACCGTGTGGTGCCGGCATAGAATAGTACCACCCCATTTCTTCCCGTGGGTGGCGTAAGAGGCGACTAAGGGATAAAGCCAGGGAACGGACAGCAGCGTTTCAGAATACCAAATGGAATACACTGCGCTCGCCAACCCGTCTGCCAAGCGTGGCGAGTACGGCAAAACCTCCAAAATGAAAATTAGACAGCACAGGACCAGGCCCCCAGTACCCGGCAGCCCCGCCAATCCTGGCTATGGTAGCGGTCATAGCAGCGGCGGGGCAGGGGGTGCGAAGAATCCCCGGATGGGATCCGGCTACCACCCCCAACGACAACTGGCCCTGGTAACACACAACATACGCACTTTGAGGACAGACGAGAAGATAGTAAAGCTGGAAGAAGAGTTGAGCAAATTGCGCTGGGATATAGTGGGTTTAGCAGAAGTCCGAAGGGAGGGTGAGGACACGATTACCCTGAATTCCGGCAATTTGCCGGGAGGGCGAACAACAGTCCCAAGGTGGTGATCGTCCACAAGTCTCTTATTAGCAACGTGATGTCCATCAATAGTGTGTCGAGCAGGGTAGCGTACCTTATACTCAGAACATCTAAGAAATATTCGTTGAAGGTCATACAGGTTTACGCACCGACCTCGACACACCCAGATGATGAAGTGGAAGCTATGTATGAGGACATCAGTCGGGCCATACATAGCACTATTACACACTACACCGTTGTTATGGGAGACTTCAATGCAAAGCTGGGCCGAAGAAGCGATGATGAGTTGAGAGTGGGGCAAATTGGTTATGGGCAACGGAACCTCAGGGGACACAGGCTGGCCGGGACGGGAGACTCTTTATGATGAACTCTTATTTCCGGAAGCCGCCTCACAGGAAATGGACCTGGATGAGTCCCGATGATTCCACAAAAAATGAGATTGACTTCATTTTGACCAACAAAAGGCGTATATTCATTCAATGATGTATCCGTGATTCACAGGGTGAAAACCGGAAGTGATCACCGAATGGTTAGAGGCACACTGAATATAGACGTTCATTTGGAACGCACCCGTCTAATGAAGTCCACGCTCCGACCTTCGATTGCTCAGATTCAAAACCCCGAAAGCTTTCAACTCGAATTGCAAAATCGCTTCGAATGCCTAGATAGCTGCACATCAGTGGACGATCTCAATAGCAGGCTGGTAGAAAGTATCCATGAGGTTGGGTCTAAGTTCTTGAGACTCCACCGAAAAGATAGACCTTAGAAACTATCCGACCATACCCGGGACCTCATGGCCGGGCGACGTTCTATGACTCTCCAAACCTCCGATGACGCTAAGTCCTATCGGCAGCTCAATAGACAGATATGGAATTCTCTGCGACACGATCTCCGCTCCTTTAATACTAACAGTATTAAGGAGACGATAGAGCGAAACAAAGGCTCTAAAGTGTTCGCAAGAGAGGCGTCTATTGGGAAAAGCCAGTTGACGAAGCTGAAGACAGAAGAGGGGAGTGTAACGTCGAGTAGGCAAGAGGTACTTACGGAGATAGAGAGATTCTATCGACACTTGTATACCTCAACCGCAAAGCCTGCTAGTAGCCCAGCTAAAGACCCTAGAGCAAGGCTAACCCGATAATATACCGAAGATATCCCGGACAGTACGAGATTGGGATGGCTCTGAAACAGCTTAAGAATAACAAGGCACCGGGCGATGACGGAACCACATCTGAGCTTCTGAGAGCGGGTGGCAAACCGGTACTCAAGGTCCTCCAGAAGCTCTTCAATTCCGTCTTGCTCGAGGGACACACGCCAGAGTCATGGAACAGGGGTGTGGTGGTACTTTTCTTCAAGAAGGGCGATAATACCTTATTGAAGAACTACAGGCCCATCACACTGCTGAGCCATGTCTACAAGCTGTTTTCAAGAGTCATCACGAATCGTCTCCAGCGTCGGTTTGATGACTTCCAGCCTCCCGAACAAGCCGGTTTCCGAAAAGGCTTTAGTACCATAGACCACATACATACGCTGCGGCAGATTATACAGAAGACCGAGGAGTATAATCGGCCACTATGCTTGGCGTTTGTGGACTATGAGAAAGCCTTCGATTCGAACGAAACTTGGGCAGTCTTTAGGTCTCTACCGCGGAGCCGTATTGACTATCGGTACATCGAGGTATTTAAGTGTTTGTATAATAACGCCAATATGTCAGTTCGAGTACAGGACCAATACACGAAGGCAATTCCATTACAGAGAGGGGTAAGACAGGGAGACGTTATTTCTCCGAAACTGTTTACCGCTGCTCTGGAAGATGCCTTCAAGCTCCTGGAATGGAAAGAACATGGCATCAACATCAATGGCGAATACATCACTCACCTTCGATTTGCCGACGCCATCGTAGTCATGGCAGAATCGCTGGAAGACCTGGGACAAATGCTCGCTGACCTCGACGGAGTTTCTCAACAGATCGGCCTTAAAATGAACATGGACAAGACGAAAATCATGTCGAATGTCCATGTCGCGCCGATTCCTATAGTCGTGGGAAACTCTGTCCTCGAAGTTGTTGACGAATATGTCTACCTAGGACAAACGGTCCAATTAGGTAAGTCCAACTTCGTGAAAGAGGTCAATCGTCGAATCCGACTCGGCTGGGCAGCGTTCGGGAAATTACGAAACGTCTTCACGTCTAAAATACCTGTGAGTGATGACCTACGGAACTGAGACGTGGTCTCTTACTATGGGCCTAATCAGAAAGCTCAGAGTCGCTCAGCGTGCTGTGGAAAGGGCTATGCTTGGCGTTTCCCTGCGTGATCGAATCCGCAACGAGGAGATCCGCAGGAGAACAAAGGTGGTCGACATAGCCCAACGGATTAGCGAGCTCAAGTGGCAATGGGCAGGGCACATAGCAAGGAGAACTGACGGCCGATGGGGCAGCAAGGTTCTCCAATGGAGACCACGTACTGGAAAGCGCAGTGTGGGACGACCGCTTACCCGATGGACGGACGACCTGGTAAAGGTTGCCGGAAACCGTTGGATGCAGGCCGCAATCAACCGTCCCCGCTGAAAATCATTGGGAGAGGCATATGTCCAGCAGTGGACAAGCATAGGCTGAGGTAATAATAAAAATAATCATTTGTATACTAAATAGTAACTTGTTTCAAAGCTGATTGATAATTGAAGTCTATTTATTAACAAACCTCCCAGAGTCAAACCTCTTTAATTTGTTGTATGTTTTAATGGAAGTTTTAACAAAACTTTCAAGTAGGTTTTTATGGTTTTCTTCAATAGCAGATTGAACAATTACAAAAGAAATATGTTTGATTTATAATCGTTGCGCTTACATGTTCTATGTTCTACCATGGTCTTCCTTTTATAAGAATCTGTTTTAATATTATCTAGTAATTAAAATGGTCTTAACTCGAAATCTGATCTTAGAAAGACTATGGACTAAGATCAGACTAAAGACTATAACCATTGTTTCAAAAGTGTCCAATTGTCTCTGACACTATATGTATAGCTCAGGCTAGTTTTAGATTGTTGTGTTAATTCTATTGCACTATATGAAGAAGTATGTGTACTCACCTGTCTGACATGTCAGGACCTTCCTTGGCCCTAAAACTTCTGGCTTCCAAGCCTATATACTTTGCTTTACCTTCGGGTAGCTCCAACATCCATTTCTCTCGGGATTTGACTTTGGGATCTGTACTTCCATCTAAATTCTTAATCTTTATGTCTAAAGCTCTTTCTTCAAGGCGACGGTGTGCATCAGACCATTTTTCTTCGGACCCAACAGGAAGAGGACCAATGCCACCATCATCATCAGAGCTTTCATATTTGACAACTTCTTGTTCCCTTTCAGATAGTACTTTGCGCATATTGTCAGGAATAGATGGTCCTAAAAAATATAAATAAAGTGTGATTTTGATGACTATTTAGCTGAAACAACATGAGTGCTATTCTGCTAGTAAGTATCAGAAATGGTCGAAATCGTTTTAGGTACTCTAATTGCATAAATAGGAATCACCAAAAATCTATGTTAAGCAATTCCCTGATCAAACTCCATACCAACAACAACGATATAAGAGCTTGAAAAGTGAACTTATCCAAAGAACATTAAATGGCGAACGGAATTTAGTAATAAAATACGTCAAGGGTTTGCCGAGGATTGTAAATACCGATTCAAAAAACTAACTAATGCCAATCTAAAACGTCGACAGCACACTAATATTATTTACGAAGCTCTAAATAACTACGAAAACTTAGGCAGCAGCAGAAATTCCTTGAAGTTCTTTTATATTAATGCTCGAAGTATTGTGAAAGATGGAAAGTTCGATGAATTATGCTGTATTATAAAATCAGTTAAATCCGTTGTACATATTATAATACTAACAGAAACATGGTTGAAATCTGATGACGAAGCTAAACGATTCCAGATACCGAATTACACGCATTATTATAATCATAGAAACTCTTTCTATGTTGACCCTTTGAATGTTGGTGGCGGCGTTTCTATATTTGCCCTTAATAGGCTCAAGCATTTTTATATTGAAGGCGTTTCTCAAGGTGATATTCAATTTCTTTGGATACATCTTGACAAATTTTAGATTGATATTGGAGCGGTGTATAAACCCGGTCGAACGAGTGATAAACCTTTTTTTGAATAGTTTTCAGATCAGTTACACCGACGCCATAGGGCTGTCATTATGGGTGATTTTAATTTTGATTTACTTCAAGTAAACAACTCCACTAAAAACTATAAGGACATCATTATTGAATCTGGCTACAGAATATTAAATAAAATAAGTCCTAAACACTGCACCCGACACTCAGAGACCAAAAAATCTGTGATTGATCACGTTGTTACTAACATAGCCGAGAACCAATTCTATTTGGCAACTATCGAGTCACCTATGTCTGATCACAAGCAGATTTTTCTTGAAATAAATAAGTACCAAACACCACCTAAACAAAAAATCCAATACGAAGCAATAGATTATGAAAATTTTTATTCATTGGTGGAAGATATAAAACTCGATGAAGATAATATAAATTACGCTGATTTTGAAGTGAAATTATTAAAAGCATACAAAAAATGTAAAATAAAAAAGACAAAAATTCTGAATCGTCCACGGCAAGATTGGATTAATGCAACCAATTTGGATAAAATTAACGATAGAAATATTCTATACCAGCAACACAAAAAAAAACCAGACAATGAAAATATCAAGAATGAATTTAAGTCTAAAAGAAATTTGGTCTCCGAAGAAATTCAGAAAATGAAAGCTGAATATTACCGTAAAAAATTCTCAAACTGCAGCAATGAACCAAAGAAGATGTGGCGCCTGATTGATACTCTAGCACATAACAGACACAGAGACGACTCGAAACCAGCTAAGCTTACAAAAGGAACTAGGGAATTGTCAGACGGAAACGAAATTTGTGAATATTTTAATGACTTCTTTGCAACGATAGGTGCAGTATTAGCTGAATCATTACACGCTACTTATCCTGGTGCTGATATCTGCACTGCGACAGGAATCGATAACAGACCTGCAGATTCTCAGAATTCTCTAGACTCTTTAAATCCAGCTACAGGTAATGAAATCTTAAAAATAATTGATAAATTAGATGATAATACTAGTTCAGGCATTGACAATATAAATACAAAATCTATAAAATACGTTAAATACAAAATTGCCTCAAAATTAACAATATGTATTAACAACTGCTTTGAGTTAGGTCATTTTCCAGATAGCTTAAAGATTGCCAAAGTAACACCAATTTATAAGGCAGGGTCGAGGGCAGATCCCAATAATTATCGGCCGGTATCTGTTCTTCCCGTGATTTCGAAAGTATTTGAGAAGGTTATCTACAATCGATTGGAAGCCTATTTAAACTCAATAATTTTTTTATACCCTAAACAATATGGATTCAGGCCGAAATCAAATACTCTATCTGCAACAGTGGATTTAACAACCAAATTCAAAAATAGTATAGATGAAAAAAAAGTTGGGCTAGGCATTTTCATCCCGCCGCAAACCCCGGAGGGGTGACGGTCCGAGGGGATTTCCACACGTTAAAAAAAAAAAAAAAAGGCATTTTCATCGATCTCAAAAAAGCCTTCGACACGGTCAGTCATCAAATTCTTTTGGACAAGCTTAATGCTTTCTGGAAAGGCTTATAAAATTTTTGAATCTTATCTCGCGGATCGCTCTCAAGTTGTTAAAATCGGAGATCACCAAAGCTCCCTACATTCTATAACCTACGGAGTTCCCCAGGGGTCTATTTTGGGGCCCCTTTTGTTTTTAATATATATAAACGATATAAGTAAACTTAACCTCAAGGGAGATCTATCACTCTATGCTGATGATACTAGCCTGTTCTATTTTGGGGACAACATAGATTCAATTACACAGGATGCTCAAAATGATTTTGATCTTATTAATGACTGGTTCTACTCAAAACGAAAAAATCTCTTGACTATTATATCAACACCGATAAAACTCATTATGTAATATTTGCAGCCAAAAATAAAATCCATAACGAAGTTCTTACACTTAAGATTAATAATGTATCTATTAGTAAATCGGAGCAAGAAAAATATTTAGGACTAATATTGGACAAACATTTAACATGGAAACCGCATATCGAAAAAGTTAAATCAAAATTGACATCTTTGACGGGTGCCCTGCGAGGTATAGTTCGATGCTTGCCACGTAACGTTCGTTATGCTATTTACAATTCGCTAGTTAAACCACACATAGATTACCTTATCCAAATTTGGGGCTTAGCGGCTAAGACAAACCTTCGTTCGCTACAAATATCACAGAACAGATTGATTAAAAGATTATTTAACTATAATTACTTCACACCTTCTGCAAAACTTTACAAAGAAACCAAAATAATGAATATTGATATGACAAATACAATACATGCATCTTAATACGTAAAATACTAACAAAAAAAATACACACACTAATATCTCATTCCAATTAAGAAGTGAGGATAATCGGTTAAGGCGACTACGGCGTACTAATAATTTAGTACTACGCCCTCCTAGAACTAACTATGGCAAATATAATATAACCTATGCGAGTGCTCAACTATTTAACAATTTACCAAGTTCTATTAAAGATAAAAGACATTTAAATACATTCAAAAAAATATTAAAAGCCCACTGGCTGGCAAAGACTGCACGGATGGCGTAGTGGTTTAAGCGGTCGCCACGCCGCTTCCTGCTACGCCGAGTGTTGTGGGTTCAAACCCCACATGGGACGACACTTTGTGTGATCCACAAATTGTTGTTCTGAGTCTGGGTGTTCTTTGTGTCCGTTTCATGTATGTTTGTAAAGTCCCCCGCGACACAGGATTTATTCCTAATGCGGGAGTTGTCTTTTAAAAACACAAACACAAAAAACACTTGCTAAACGAAAATAAATAAACAAAAAAAAAAAAAAAAAAACTAACTAGGTATATCCATTTAAAAGTAACCCATTGTCAAATTTAGAAATACATAAATTAACAATTAAATTAATCACTTATTAAAGATGCAACGCTTAGCTGAACTTGTTAGTCAATAATGTATTGCATCTAATGTTTTACTATCTTTGTAATGTGTGCATAGCATTTGGTCTAATGTTTGAATGTAGGTAGGATTAAAATAATTTTGTTTCTGTTTGGGTTGTTAAAATTTAAGTCAGTAGAACTACCTATGTATGTGTACCTCCTTTATTTAATTTTTTAAATGTAATGTTATTAACCACATATTATTTGTGATGAATTTTGTTAGCTTTGATACTGTTTAAGGATTTTGCTGTTAAAATTGGTAAAAGGTAATTATTTCAAATTTTTTGTTACTTCACATGCGTACATACATTTAGACCCTCATTGTCACATAATATTATTTTTGACCCATGCATGCTCATCGGAATATTTAATAGTTATTAATGTATAAATTCTCATGTAAGTGAATGTACAATTCTTATGAGAATAAAGATTTCTGAAACTAAGCAATATCTTCATTGATTTTCACAGAGTGAGTGATGTTACCGGAGCACAAACTCTTAAACTCCTTCCCCTTCCATTTGAATCTCAGAGGAACTCAAAAGGAGGCAATGCATTTAGGGCTCTTGTGTTGCAGGTGACCATGGGCGGTGGTAGTCACTTACCATCAGGTGACCCGTCTGCTTGTTTGCTCCCTATACCTTAAAAAGGCATGCATACATTTAATGACTTTCTCTTTCTGTTGACAGAGTGGAAAATCCCTTTGGATCTCTTGCTCTTTAAGGAGTATATGGTGTTTCCACTAAAAAACCCCCCGTCGGCCAGCCTTCGGAGAACCCGAGCCATGTGATTTCAGGTACCCCCAGATCTACGCCGCATCTAATTTGGCCCTATCTCAGCGGAAGCCAGTGACTTCTCCCTGCATATCAGCCTATCCAATGTTGCCACTGATGCATTTAATACCTAGCGTAACATTTAAAAACTCACCAATTTTACAACTTCTTTTAAGATGAGGTGGTAATGCTGGACCTTCTATTTCTGGAGAGGCACTTCGTTTGTACTGTTTTTCGAGATGTGGAGGTAATGCTGGTCCACAAACATTGCTTTTTGGCTTTCCACGTCTCAGCTTGTGTCGCAAGTCTGTAGGGTCAATGTCAATCTGGCCCTGAGAATCATCACTAGATATTTCTCCTTCCTCACAGCTTTCCTTCTGAGCATGTTTTTGAGTTGAGGATACTTCTTCCATAACTTCGAGCTGAACTTCAAGTGCTACATCAGGTTTTATTGCTATATCAGTTGTACTGCTAACCTCAACTGATACAGAAGTATCACGCAATTCTCTTTCTTTACTAGACTTTAAACTCTTCCTTTTATGTTTTTTTTTATGTTTTTTCTGCTTTTTAGTCTTATGTAATTCTTTTTCTAAATTTAAAAGTTTTGCTCTTAATCTTTCATCATCAGAAGAATCAATCTCACTAGATTCCTCTGACTTGTCTTTTATAACTGCTGGTATCATCTTATAGTAAGATCCTAGTAGCACTTCCTCATGGTCACTGTGATCATTCTCATCTATCATTATTGGGCTTTCACTCTTTTTCCTCTCTGGTGCTCTCTTTTCAATGGCTAAAAGGGGGGGTGGTACATAAATTTCAGATCGTTTTCCCCTGCGAGGGGATAATGATTTGTCTCTGGCCTTCTTTGCTTGTTTCTCAGGACTTTTATCACGAACAGTACTGCGTCGAGTTCCCTCTTGTTGATCTTTACTGTTATCATGTAAGGCATAAGACCTGAATCCAGAATTTTTATGTCTATCCCTACTATTACTTCTATACTCTCTATATTTAGTTTTTTCAGTGGACTCTCTGTGCTTATTTTTCTCATGTGATCTCCTATTTTGACTTCTATCTCTTGAATGTCTTCTCCTTATTGGTGAATTCCTACTGAACCTATGTCGATCTCTATCCCTAGAATGTTTATCAAAGTTATCTCTATCATCTCTTCTTCTATCAGAGTATCTTTGGAATCTGTCATTACCAGAATGCCTACTTCTACCTGTTTCTCTAGAATTATCTGATTTTTGTTTTGAGGTTTGTTCTTCTTTTTTAGTTCGACCTTTGAATCTACCAGTTTCTGAATCACTACTGGACTCATCTGATAGCATTTTGATACCTAAAAACAAACAAAAAGGGTTAAAATTAAGAAAAATAATTATTTACTTACTTCCTTTATTTTCATAATATAAACAACACACATTAAAACATTTTTGCTATTTTTCTAGCACTATAATGTATTGATTTCATTAAACCAGCAGTAAGTATGCCTTTTAATGACTGTCTTACACTAGATTGCCAAACAATGTCTTTAAGTATTTGTCTCAATACAATAGCGCAATCTATGTCATAGGCTACAGCACGAAGGACATCTTCCATGTCTTGCTGTGGTCCACCATGATTCCAGAACTTCACGATCCTCTGTTGGGGCACCATTGGAAGCTGCATCAAGTGATGCAACTTTGTTTCTGGATGTATATCCTGATGGCACTGAGCATCCCCTGTTGATATGTCTACATAAGCATGGAATTGCTGTAAAATTGGTCGATAGAGTTCACGAAAACTTAACAATTGTGGCTGAACTATATTTCTTACTTTGTTTTTGTTTTCTCCAAAAGTCATCCTAAAGTCGCCAGCATAGCTTAGGTTAGATATGGCATAATAAAAGTCATATTCAGTGAATGTCTCAGGTAGAGTAAGAAGGGCTGTGTGAACAGCAGAGCGTAGATTAGACTGCAGTGCACTCTGTAACTGAGTACTATTAATTTGTTTAATAATTGTTACTGGTTTATGCAACCTGCCAGCAAGATATAAATCGTTCCAATCTAACAGGTCACCTATTAAATCTTTTTGTGACACAACTCCATACTTTATGACAACATTCTCCTCTTTAATTTCTACAAGAGTGTTAAAGTAGACCTTAGCTCCCCAGTTTTCCTGAAACCTTGCAATGAAGCCTTTGCCTAAGTATCTGAGTGCAGAGTAGTGTGATTTATTCAGCTCAATGTTAGCCCCGTGCCATCGATGCGAGTTGTCAACACAATATATTAAATCGATCATGTTCTGTTTGTTCTGGTTGCCCGTCTGTGGTTTCACAGCCGATCCATAAGCGAAGCAGAAAGTAAAGTTCTGAGGAAATTTTGATAATATCCTGTAGTACAACGGCGAAAAATCTTTGGTTACGCCTGCCATTACTTTTACAGCTGCCGAAGCCATATTATTGTAAAGATATGATATGGATTTCTGCTGACCTGAGAACCACTTCACGAAGATACGGTGACAGATGGCTTTTGTTTCGAGACCTAAAATTTACCAGTAGCCGTTTATAACGACTACTGAATATATTAGTACAAAACTAGTGGCACTTTCAATTATTATGCCTAGTTTTATGTAACAGATCTTTCTTCATTATACTCCACAAGACGTTTAATATAACCAAACAGCACAACAACCAACTAAACCACAGAGTAGGCAGCTTGGCAGACCTGAGACCAGTCAGACCATAGCAGAAAAAATATTTAGAGGCATAGATTAATTATATAAGGAAATGTTGGCTCTGGGAGGAAAACGAACACTACTTAATTTGATCAACACTACTTGTTCTTGTTTCACATCGCAAAAGTGGAGAAAAATAAACATTACTTGAAGGAACAGGTAATTTAAGAATTCATAAAAGGGAGAGACTTTATGATTCTGTATTGACTCTGTGGTTTTCTTTTCTTACAGGATTGTCATTTGTCAAAATATAGATCAACTTGACGTTTCGGTAACAGCAGTTTTATTTCGTTTCATTTCAATTCAATCAGTCCAGTGTTTTAAGAGTTGTTGGTAGTGTGATTAAACATAATTTTAATAATGTCGAGTGCTGATCGGATTGACTTTGAAATGGAAGTAGAGGTGGAAAGTGCGTCGTCTGGACCGGCTGTTGATCCTCCAAACCCTACTTCACCCGCTCCTCCAACTTCTGGGGGCGCTAAAAGCGTGGTAGTTACGACTGCTACTTCTGGGTCAGTAACAGTTTCACTGCATCCGCTAGTCATTATGAATGTTTCAGAACATTGGACTAGGCTGCGCGCACAAGAGGGATCTCCTCAAACAGGTATAAAGTATCCTTTTCGAATTTATACGTTCTCAGAATCATTATACTTAGTTTACAATTACTTCATGTTTTTGTTTTTAGTGGTTGGTGCTCTCATTGGCAAACAAAAAGGAAGAAACATAGAAGTAATGAATTCTTTTGAATTAGTGTTTAGTGTGATTGAAGGTGATATTGTTATTGATAGAGATTATTACAATATGAAAGAAGAACAATGTAAGTATCTTTTATGGTGAGTTAATTTAACTATAAGTATGCTGATATAGAAAGTACTGTTGTGCTAAAACATTTAGAGATGGAATAATATTTTGATTTTAATTTATTAAAATAAGGTACCCTAAATCCTATGTTTTATGCATACTGAGCACTTGCTAAAGACTTTTAAGATAAGTTTATTAACACTTGTTTATCCTGGATGTTTAATCTGATGCTTTAAAAATTTAAAAATATAAACCTTAGGAAAGAGCCTATTTATGAGCATGGGAGCCTTGTTGAAAGTTAATTAGAAAGTCTTTAAACTTTTTAAGTTAATGTATCTAAATTGACTACATAATTTAATCAAATTGTTCAAATGTTGTTGAAGCTCAAATAAGGATTCAGTTGGCATTTTTAAAAGCTTTGATAGTTTAATAATAGTAAATCTAAAACACCAACTAAAATTTGGGAGAGGAGATAAAGCTGGTAGTATTTTACAAGTATATCACATTTCATAATTTAATGTAGATACTATGATTTTAATAAAGTTCTTATGTTTTCATTGAAAATTTAGGCTTATCCTTATTTAGGCTATATATACTTAGGATATAACTTAGTTATTTTGTTGCTAGAACACAAATTTAAAGTGCAACCAATAAAATACAAAAAGTGTAATGCTTTTCAGCCTTTCGGACATCTGACATCACACAACGTCATCTAGTTTCAAACTAAGCAGAGCTTGTATTATGAAAGCTCGATTGACTGATACAATACTTACATACTTTTTTAATTTTTTTTTCCATCCAAAGGGGAAACATCCAACCTCCAAAACAAATATTTGCAAATCATACAAACATTTGGTCGAACCCGAGACCTCAGTTTAGCTGTGGCATACGCTGCCACTGCACCACCGAGGCAGTCATCGCTTATATTATATTTTAATCTTATACTTCTAATTTCTATAACAGTTAAACAAGTTTTTTCGGATATGGATTTCCTGGGCTGGTACACAACAGGTGACACTCCCACCGAAAGGGATATTGCAGTCCATAGACAAATATGTGATATAAATGAGTGTCCAGTTATGTTGATGCTAAACCCTGCAGGAGGAAATGGAGATGTGAGTTTAGTGACTGTATTGTAATCCTGTTACTAATTTTTATATAAACCATACAATAATATTAAGAATATTCTTTGTTCCCCATTTTAATCAAATTTCGCTAGTAGAGATACGATTGTGCGTTTTTAAGTTCGTGGAATGAGAGGGTTCGAGGGGGGTGATTAGGCTCATTAGAATCGTCACGTGTTCAGTGATTCATAATTAGTATAAATACCAGGTTTTATTGTTATTAGACAATTAGTCTTTGAGTTATCGTCAACCAAGCAACATAATCGGGAGTGAAAAGTGAAACATGGAAAAAATCGAATATCGTGCCGTTATAAAGTTCCTTACCAAGCAAGGAAAATCAGTTGCGACCATAATTAATGAGATGTCATTGGTTTATGGCGATTCTTGTCCAGGAAAAACCATGTTGTACAAATGGCACAGTTTATTTAAACAAGGAAGGGAATCCCTTGAAGACGACCCGAGGCCGGCCAGGAGCATCGAGGTGGTCACGCCAGAACTTATCCAAAAAGAAGAAAAAATTGTACTCGACGATGCTCGACTAAAGAAGAAACAACTCGCAGAAATGTTTGGAGTATCTGATACAACCATTGTTAGAATTCTGCACGATCATTTTGGCATGACAAAGGTCAGTGCAAGATGGGTGTCGAGAATGCTCACGCCGACGCAAAAACAACAGTGCGTAGAGTGTTCACGTGCATTTTTAGACCTTTGTAATGAAGACAAGGATGCTGTATTGAGTAAAATTGTTCCTGGAGACGAAATTTGGGTTCATCATTATGAACCTGAGTCGAAACAAGACTCCATGCAGTGGCATAAAAAGGGCACAGCACCTCCCAAGAAGTTTAAGGTGTCACAGTCAGCTGGGAAACTCATGGTAACGGTCTTTTGGGACTCAGAAGGAATATTATTGATCGATTATAAAGATAAAGGTGTTTCTATAACCGGAGAATACTACGCTTCAATATTAGAGTGACTCAAAGAAGCCATTAAAGAGAAAAGACGGGGAAAATTGACAAAAGGTGTGTTGCTTTTGCACGACAACGCTCCCGCCCACAAGAGCCGCGTCGCGTTGGCTGCGCTGCATAAGGTGGGCTTCGATATTTTGAATCACCCACCCTACAGCCCAGACCTGGCCCCCAGCGATTATTACCTGTTTCCAAAAATGAAAAAAGAGCTGCGGGGTAAAAAATTTACCAACGATGATGAAGTCAAGGAGGCAGTTTCGGCGTATTTTGAAGACAAAGAGAAAACATTTTTTATGAGGGTATAAACAAATTAATTGAAAGATCTGAAAAATGTATCCGTCTTGCAGGTGAATATATTGAAAAGGAAAAATAATTTGATTTTTTTAATTCCACCCCTTATCCCCCATTCCGCAAACATAAAAACGCTCCCTCGCATATGAAATTTGAAATATTTCAAGTTTAAATGTTGAAGATTTTTGTTATCAAAATTTAATCAATCTGTTTATAAAATTTAAAATGTGAAAAGGGCTACAAAAAGCTTTATCTGTCTTGGGTATGTATGAAAATTTTAAGTTGGTTTGTGTATGCTTCAAAAATTAAAAAGTACTGCACTGATTAAGCTCAAATTTTGGTACAATATATACCCCCTTCAAAGATTGTTCTTTTTTCTGCTAGTTCTATTTTTCGTGTCAGTTTTGTTTCTGATTTCTCATCAGTGCAACCACAAGTGCCAACATGTTTCTATACCTGTCATCATATATTAAACTTATACAATTTTATTACAGTTAAAGTGAAAAGAATAGCTTGATTTAAATTAGGAAAAATCAATGAAATAATGATTAAACTACACCCACTTATTAGATACGATAAAATACTTTTGCATTATAACTGTTGTTATTTAGTACAGCTGACCTCAGTACCTTTTGTCTAATATTTTAGCAACTACCTGTTGTACTGTACGAGTCAGTGATAGATGTAGTCAATGGAAGAGCTACAATGTTGTTGGCACCACTCACATACACACTGGCAGCAGAGGAAGCAGAACGGATTGGTGTTGACCATGTGGCCAGAGTGTCATCAGGAGAAGCAGCACTTAATAGCTTAGGTAAACATTTTGTATGGTTTTAATTATAGTTGGTGGTTATGGTAGTTGAATAAATACAGCTTCTCTAAGACTTTTGCATTGTTCTAAAATATCTTTAATAATTGAATAGGTTCTAAATTGACTAGTAAATCCAAACAGCAAAAGAATATGCTTTTACAATAGCAAAGTATCAAGTCCAAATTGGTATTAATTGTTTGTGTTGGTCCAAATTGGTAATAATGCATTTTGTATATATGCTATTCATCCACAGTGGCGGAACATTTAACAGCTCAACGCTCTGCTATAAAAATGTTAGTGTCCCGAGTGCGTGCAGTGCTAGCCACGGTGCGTGCCATCCGAGACGGTACACTACCGCCGCGACCAGCTCTCTTACGAGAAGCGCGCGCTCTTTCCAACAGACTGCCTTTGCTCACGTCACAACAATTTCGCACACACTTTTATAATGTAAGTTTGTACTTATTTCAACACAGAGCTATCAGAATATCCATATCCTTATATTTTGTATACTCACTACTACGCGTACAATTACGCGAGGACATTTCTTTACTTATACCCCTTTGTAAGCATTGCGTAAGTAGAAACAGTGTAAAAAGTTAAAATTGATGTCATAAATTAAATTACCTAACCTTTTTTTTTTTTTTTTTTTTTAACGTGTGGAAATCCCCTCGGACCGTCACCCCACCGGGGTTTGCGGCGGGGTGGTGTGTCGGACTCGAACCGACTAAAACCACACGGTGTGCCCTCTTTGCGCTTCCAGTTTAGGAGGGGTCCAGGTAGTTATCGCCTTCTGGACCCCTCCTAGCGCCGGCTCGCTCCTGGTGCGGGCTCCGTCTTCAATTATCCTCTCTTTAGGCGACGTCCGGCACACGCGGACGCCGCCCCCTCGCGGCTGGCCAACTAATGAAATTACCTAACCTAAGCCAACCAGCACAGTCGTCCAATGGTGGCTGATAGGACACTCGTATCTTCCACCAACCGCCCTCAGGATACTGGTGCGAAGTCATTTATCCGCGCCACGGCAAACATGCCAGACGCGCTGCAGTGCCACGGCAGTCTCATCAACATCCTGAAGGCATTATTGTATTGCACACGTAGAGCGCTGTAAGCCTTCCTCGTATATTTCACCCATTAAAAATATTGACAAAAAGCTTTAAAAAGAATTATTGTTACCTGTTCTGAAGCTCGTGCAAAGGTAACTTTTACAAAACAAAAATTGTACTGCCCAAACATTTAAAGATTATTTTCTTGTTTTCAGCAATGTAACGATGTTGCATTAATGACGTACCTGGGCACAATCACCAAAGGCTGCAATGGTATCAACCAGCTTGTCAACAGATTCAATGTTCTCTATGACAGACAGGGCATGGGCCGCAGAATGCGGGGCCTCTTCTTTTAAACTCTTCCATAATTTTAGTTCTCAAGAAGCATATATGGTGTGGAAAAACATACTTCATCTGGAGATGGTCCTTGCACATTTCTGACATTTGTACTATCTCTAACAAATAATGTATTGTATTGTATGAAGCTTTTATCTATCCGTTTTTTCTAATTCAGCAGTTATAAATTAATTTAGTTTTTTTTTGTTCAAATAAGTAATAGTAGCTTTTGCTTTGGAAGGAGCGTGACCGATTTTTATTTAATTGTTTTTTTTTTCAGTTATCACGATTGTCACAATATATCAACTTTATCTTGCATTTAAAATGTGTGTGTTGCGTTCTAATAGTAGTTACTTAAAAAGTGGAAAAAGGAAGATCAAACAAAAAAAAAGGGATGAGTGAAGTAAATTAGCAATTATAATACGCGAGTCATCAACTTAACTAACAGAACATTGGTCAGGGTCCTTCTAAATCAGTAGCTGGTGTTAACGATTCATCCCAATTAAATTTTATATATTTTATGAGTTAAAAAGTACGCCGTTTTACCATATTTCTTCATAATTAAAATAAATTAAGGACTCACTTTAGTTGAATATTATTCTTTGTCTTGTATCCGCGTGGTGACGGATTAAGAATACAGTGTCACCATCTTTATTCATCCCGTGGGTGTCGTAAGAGCCGACTAAGGGAAAAAAAAAACGCAGAACAACAGCATTGCAGAGAAGGAAAACTTGACACAAATCCTATACCGACCCGTCTAGCCAGCGTGGTATAGTAGGCCAAAACCTCCTTTCTAAGGAGAGGCTTATGCCCAGCAGTGGACTGTTAGAGGCTGTTGATGTGATGTGATACATCCGATCTAATTGCATCTACGTCCGTGAGCTGTTTACCACCTATTAGAATCATAAAAATCAACTAATGGCGTATAAATACTGTATGCAATTTAAAAACTATATAAAAATACTGTTTTAGTTTTATAAATCCATAGTCTAACTTTAATAAAATAAAGGTGAATTGTTTTGAACCGTTTCTAAAATTAGGGTAACATTCAGTAAAGACACCTTAAACTGACATAAAAGTTGTTTTTGAACCGTTTTGAAAATTAGAGTAAGATTTAGTTAAGACACCATAAACTGAAATAAAAGTTGTTTTTTTTCAATATATATTTGATTTTATAATAACCAATAATCGTACCATTGCAGTGCTATTGCTTCGGTGTTTAGTACTTAACCATCTGCCATTATGAGCATTATCTGTTTCTGGAGGTCCAACTGCCGGCCCAGTTTCGTGAATGAGTAGTATTTCGGGTTGCGTCTCAATAACAATTAGACATGGGACAAAATCACAGTGAACTGTTATTCATCATTAAATTTTTTCGTACGTCGGTTAGGTTTACTCACTCACGCGTTGTTATCAATTAGGTAGCTGTTTTCAGACGATGTACAAAGTATGTTTTTTTATTATTATTTAGGGAATGGTAGCTATGTATGGTAAAATAATAACTAGATTTACTGTTAAATAGACAAAATAGGGTTTTTATGCATCGTTTGAAAATAGCTTATTGGCAACAACGCGTGAGCAAGTAGTAACCCTAACTTACGTACGAAAAAATCGAATGATGAATCATCGTACATTCACAGTTAACTGTGATTTTGTCCCATGTCTAATAACAACTGTGTAAGGAACAAGCACATGGCATGCAAATTCAGCCTCATTCGGTCCTTGTATAATTATAAGGTTGTATAATATAAGGCTATTAAAATAATACACAAATAGGAATATGACGCATTATTTTTATTTCGCATCCTGTTTGACTGCAAAATTAACAAGTTTGGACACATTGAGATTCATAGTATGGAAGACTTTATAATGTAGTCTTTAGAACTGTAAACGTCATGACATTAAACATAATAATAGCGACAGATTATACCGGTAAGCTACAAACAAAGTTATGGCGTTGGGAACAATACGTAACTTAATATTTACAAAAACAAGGGGACTAATTTGGTTACAATGCATGTAGTAAAAATTTTGCAAACCTTGGAAATCTTTTAAAACCAGTACACAGTCTTAATATTAGCACTGTTCTATAAATTATGTATATTTATTAAAAATCACTTTTAAATATAATTTTAACCAACTTCATTAACAATAAGTTGACAAAACTTACATTAGATAAACTTTACAATATTGTACTTTAATCGATAGTTTGGTATAAAAATATTTTTTTAAGTTTATTTTTTTATAATAAATTGAATCAAATTCTAATATTGCTTTCATGTATGTAGTTATTTGGCAAAAAAATATCTAAAATTTCACAAACATTATTTCAAATAAGACACATCGAACCACCTTCCTATTGTTTGATGACGGAATAACATAAATGCATATTAAGTGATTTGTCGATGAGTGACGAAGCTAAATGTGTACGCTGCCTATTTTACAATTACAAAAAGTTGTGGCGACACTGATCTTTGTATTGCACTTACAATAAGCACCAGTATTGCGTGTCAATCCACAGTGTAACTGTTTAACCTGACAGCTATAATTGGGTACCTATCTATCATGACTAACAATCGTCATAAACAGGTGTTTCTCGAAAATTCGTTTGCATTTACTATATCCTATGTACGCAATGATTCCTATGATTTGCTTGTCTGTGGTAGTTCATACAGTAAGAGAGAACCATGATACGTCACACTGTAGAGTAATAAATAAAATGGCTAAGGAAAAGTAGGGCAAAACAAATGGTTTTTATAACGAATTTTCTTATTGGCCTGCAGTAGAGTTTACTAATAGAAGTCCTCATATAAGAAAAAAAACCCTTTCTTTTTTTTTCTCTAGCTGTTCTACGTGTGAGTTATTCCTGCAACCGCATACGTATGTAAATAAACGTCCTTATTTATTATTAGGAATACTGTAGGTACTATTAGTAGACGTCATGCATGACCCGCAACGATTTTTCTTTTAGTGCCTAAATACTTAAAAACATATACGACCAACCAAAACTGTGTAGGCCTATTTAGAGGTGCGTGAAACAAATTGGAGTTAATGATATTTATGTAAAATAAATATGTAAAATAAATTATTGAATATTGAAACAGTTTATTTACACTCGTACATTTCAAGAACAGCCGTGCCAAGTTATTAATCCTATTAATTTTTATTCCATTTAATAACTAAATTTTTAAGACATTTTGAGATTCGATATTTTTTTTATTACATCCTAGTAGACAAACATAATTTAATTTCATTGATATATTGAGGGACAGCATAGTGTCTATTTTGTACCGCTCCTGGAACTGACATTTACCTGATTATAGTTGTCAGGCTATATGCGAGTTTACGTTACTCGAGTATTGGTGTGTCGCTATGTGTCGTCCGGTATCTTCTCGATACCTATCAACTCGTCGAAGAGTGAATGGTTGTCGGGTATCACGTGCGGTTCGTGGAGAAGTTGGCTCGCAAATTTTAGCACTGCGCGCGTTAACTGACCTACTGTCCATTTTCTATCCACCAGCACTCGAACTAGTGTGTCCAGCTGGAACAAAGTATTGTTGTATAAAACCCGAAGACCAGAGTATTGATCCTTTCTACAATGTAAAGGAAAGCCCTTGAAAACCACAGAATTTATTCCAAGACTGTCTGATCACATTATAGGCTTCTTAATCATTAAAAAAGGGCAAAAACTTTTTTTTTGAGCAGCTATAAATAAAGGATCTCTAAAACTCTAGAATAACTAACACAAGCACGAACTCTAGAATTGACTTCGATTTAAAGTTATTGTTACCTTAAAGAGTTTCTCATTTCCGAACGTATAGTAGATAAGTGCTGGAACACCAGCGACGCTAGCAGCCAGCCATTGCAGTAATAGCTTCAACTGCGGATGACCACGCAGTCTCCTGCCACAGCCCCAGTTGCCCGTCGCCACGGGCCGGCACGACCCACCCGATGTAATCTTTTGTGCAAGCTGCGTTAGCTGACGATAAAATGATGATTATACTCTTAAAGATAATAGTGACATGAAGACTAGCAGTGTCCTGCAGGGCCGCCATGATATAATTTGATTTCTTTATAGGGGGCAAATGAGCAAACGGGTTACCTGATGGAAAGGGACTACCGCCGCCCATGGACGCCTGAAACTCGGAAGTCTGGGAACTGGGAATAGTCGCGCTGGGAAATCTATTCGCGTATTTACTTTGCTACCGGTTGACGAGATTTTAGGGCGTTTAGTATTTCGCCCAAATCAATCGTATAAGGATGTCATAGAATAAACTAACTAAATACCTACATAATGTGGTGATTACAAAGGTTTAATATTTTGCCCATATCAATTGTATAAGGATGTCATAGAATAACCTAACTAAATACATAATATATTTGTTCGGTCGTTATTCTTCGATAAATTTTTAGTCATAAGTATACAGTGTTTCGTATTACGGACATAACAGTTGCACTGTTTTTTTTTTGTGTTATGCCATGTACCCCATCTGGCCAGCGTGGTGTAGTTGGCAAAAACCTCCTTTCTAAGGAGAAGCCTATATCTAGCAGATGACTGTTAAAGACTGTTGACGTGATGTGATGACATGCAAAAAGTGAGTTAATGTAGATTTTGTCAATCGATTGAGATATCTCTCGAGAACTGTATTCTTTTACTGAATAAACCTTTGTCTACCTATGTCCCGTTTCTGAAACCTACCTCTTGATAAAGTGTATGCAGTTATGAGGTTGTTAAGTAACGACTTTTAGGCAAGCGCGCATAAACTTTGTGGCTAAGTACCTACATATTACGATATAGTAATCCTGGGCGTATTATTATACTAAAATATGTAAGCTATATATGTATATAAATTCGCAAGATTATTAACCTATGAGATAAGTCCAGACAATGTTGACCATAAAAAGTTACACATTAATCACACAGAAATCACGCTAAGTGAAAATTTAACTTAGTAGTTAGCAGTAAGTACTTGACTAGCCAAACTACTAGTGAGTGCATATGTGTATCAGTAAAGTAAAAGTTTTACTAATTGGTAACAAATTAACACCGTGTATCAATGCCACGATAACAAAAATAATATGTTGGTAACGATACAACGATATGTTAAATTGTTTCTTTTCACAGAAATTGAGAAGTTTATTCAAAAAACTTCCTCAACCTCTTGGAAACATCATTCGATGCTGTTTTTATAGCAGTTTACGTGCAAACTTTTTAGGGATACAGAAAAAGTTACGTTCGTAAAACTTCGGCAACTTACCAACGGCGGATCCGCAGAGGGGCTATGTTCCCATCTTAATATAGACTAGATTACCTAATGACGGTAAAACAGTACGGTATTTTTACAAAAAAAAATAGTAGGCATATACGTTTAAGGATTTCAGAAAATTCGATACTGTAGATTCCAGGAATCACGAAAACACTGAAGTTTGAAATTTTCGTGAATGTGAAGGCGGGATCCGCCCTTGATGTCGACTAGCTTCTAACAAATGAGCGGATAATAAGGTATTACTCGGAGTATAGTGAACACCAATTTCGTTAAATTACATGCACATTTACAGAAGTGTATGTTTCGACAGAAAGCAAAAACAACATAGTACTTTTTTATTTAGTGTAGGTGTATATTGTTAGTATGTATATTGAGAGTTAGCGACAGCTGGGTGGTCGTCTACCTTCGGATTCTTTATTTTGACAGTGACCGGGTCGCATTCGACAGTCTCTTCAATAGTCTCTACGATCATGTTTATCACCCAGTTCAACTTTTTCCTCCTAGCGCTGGGGTCGGGGGTGTCTGTTAACTTGCCTCCGCCCCCATCGCTCTTGTCACTCCTCTGGGTGCTCGCTTGACTGTCCTTTATTATCTCTTCTGGTATAGATTCTTTTACTTTACGTTTCTGTCAAAACATATCATTTTGAATTAAGATTACCTCATTATAATTTTTGTTAGTACCTATTTATTGTTTTATCTGTATCTGATTTTTTTATTAAACTTCTTTTTTAGCTGTTATGTAATTTTGTAAGTACCTACCTAAATATTTACCAGATGAAGGTATCATGAACCTAACTGTATTAATCTGTATTAATAACTGTATTCATAATAATGGAAAGTGGATCTAGTAATAAAATACTGTTTTGACTTTTAGAAACGAAGTGTGGTCTAATAATAATTGTATCTAGATCAGATATCGAGATCTAGTCTTTAATTAGAATCCTTGTTGTTATTCAATTTTTTCGTAGCAAACAGGGAGTGCCTATTTACTTGAGAGCAGTTTTGCTGTACCTATACAGGCTGTACAGGAGGCTGTACTTATGGGTTTAAGTTGCAGTTTAAGACTTTTTATTTGAATTTAAAGCCAAAATTAGCGTTTTTGCCTGCCTGGGCAACATAAACATAACTGACCAGTGTAAACTACATTCATGCGTAAAATTTGCTAAAATTGAAAAAAAAACTGATCTCACTTAAAAGTAAGTTTAGTATTTTTTTAAATGTTTGTTGTTGTATAATAATTTTTTTTAGCAGGCAATACACGTCACCAATCCCTAAATAGAAAATATGTAGTGAATGCATTGAAACCCAAAGTAAGTAATAAAACAACGTCCATGATTGCGGTTGTGAAAATCATATGACGACAAAAGGATAGGACATATTGGCACCCTCATACTGATCATTGCTCAAAGGCATTTAATTAAAAAATGATGTAGGTATGCGATTTTCAAAATGATAAAGAATAATGCATTTTAATTGAACATGAATATTGAAATTATTTTGAAAACCCCAAGTGTAGTGTAAAAAAGCTTAGTTTTCGAACAGCAAGTTGTTATTTTATAGTAGGATATAAATACCATAGACAAGCCGGTGATAACAATAGAGATAAAAACCGTAGATGTTGTAAGTTTCCTCGCATTTCTTCACGCCATTACGTATCTAACTTATGAATCAAAAGTGATCTTAAAGAGTTTTAGTTAACATTTGATTTTTAAATATGCCCTCTGTCATCAATATGTAGCTCAGGGTTACGTACAAGATGTGCCGCGAGCCGGTGTCGATGTCTCGCCAGCTCCAGTGAGAGAGACCTCGCAGCGAGCGCCAACGGTTTGTGGGGCAAATTCCTGGGCTCCCGGCCGTACAGCTCCGCGGCGTCTGCCCCACCGCCGGCACTGACTGGACCCACTGCTAAAGATTCGCTTAAAGTACGCTTTAGAAGAGAGCCCGCGAACCTGAAAATAATAATTTTCAGATAAAGTTAATTTAAAGCTTAATATTTTTTAAGGGATTTATAGTAAAAACTCGACTTTTTTGTTTTTCTTCGGACATAACTTAGCATTTAAGTCTCTTAATCCTCCTCATCTAGACTGAGAGTCATAGATGGATGGCACAGTAATATAAAAAGTGACAACCACCGCCCATGAACACCTGTAACTTAGGAGCCACAAGCACTTTGCCGGTCCTTAGGGAAAGAGTACGCTCTTTTCTTGAAGGTTTGACAGTCATATCGGTCCGGAAATACCGCAAACGACAATTTGTTATAAGTACAGATTGCTTGTGCGCAAATTGTATAGCTAACACTTTCTGAAAAAGAGCCTTTACCAGCCTATATACACCTTGTAGTCTTGTAGGACATGATTTCTAACACTCAAATGAAGAAAAAAAATGCATAAAAAATTACATACCTAATCACAGCCAAGTCTCGAGAGTCTAATTCTCTGTTCTTGTGTTCGCCAGAGTCAGAGTCGACGATTGGGTCGTTGAGCCACTGGCTGAACTGTTCGTATACTTCCTCGAGCTCCGAACTGCGAACAAAGTAGGCGAGGGTCAGTTAAGTTGGAACAAATGATATGGTTTCAGGCGAAATCTGACACGATAATATTGTTCGAAACAAACTAATGCTTAGCGATAGTCGATTGTTACTAAAAACAATCGAATTATTCGATAGCGCAATTTTTTCGAATGTATTAGAATAACTACTTAATTTCTTCGATAGACCGTTGATTATGGTGATTCCGATAGCGATTACTGCGTCCGGTACGTAAAGATTGCGCGTGAATTCATAAAGCAAATCGTTCAAATGAAGTTGGAATAAATCGAAAGTGTCAACGATTTTTATTCAATCAAATCGAAAGTTGAGCAAGTCCACTCGCGAATAAACCTACTGAGCATACAAATACTGTTATAAAATATGTAATGTACTGTTTGCTTGCATTATTAAGCTCCAACTAAGTAGTTAGTAATAAAATTCTATTTATAAATTCAGAATTTTAAAATGTACGTATTTTTTCTAAAGGTTAACGTGAATGTTTTAAATACTAAAGTGGCAAACAAGTTAAATACATATATTATGCTTTATGTAATAACTCCGGACTGGTTATCAATAATTAAAGTGTGTTCCGCTCAAATGTCGAGCTCAAAATGTGAGATATTTGAAGTAATTCCTTAATTTTATTTACCACTAGCTGTACAGTATCACCTCGTTGTGACACATTTTAGTTGCATTGATCATACATTTGTAACAAAACTAATGTGCAAAATAGATAAAAACAATCTTCTTTAGTTGTATATCGTGTCAAAATTTGAGTTCAATCAGCGCAGAATGTTTTGAGTTTTTAAAGCGTTCAGCCTACGTTTTGAGAGTTGCTAAATTTATCTGGTGTATTAAGACACTTACATTTCACGTGTTTTATTCTTATGCGCGAATCATGCACGCTTTATGAAATTCATTTAATAAAAAAAAATGTTGTGCAGTGGTAGCAGTTTTGTAGTGTCGTAAGTGAGCTATTAGAATAAAAAACTTTTGTGAGTCGTATATTTACATATATTAAAGTGAACGGCTTTACTCATAAATATAAACAAAAAACTGTACTCACGTGTATTCTGTACTAAAGCTGTATTTGGAGCTGTTGCCAGTTTCATTTCTGTCAAGCGGTCTGTGCTTGGGTGAAGGGTTACCGTTGCTCATGGTCTCCTTTTCTGTTAGCACGAAGCCTACAGATCCACCGCGTTTAACCCTATATAACGATTTAAGTGTAATAGGAATACAGTTAGTATATTTTAAACATTTAACTAGGGTTTTAATGCTTTTGCTAATTTTAGGATATGTACTGCCAATATAATATTATCAGATATTAACTTTGGGGTGGCATTTCTATTCAAATTGCGATTGGACCAAACGTATGCCCTCTTAAATTAAAAAGTATTTGCCAAATCATTTTACAAATGAAGGGGTTCCAACTTAATAAACACAAAATATAATACCTAAATTGAGAACCTTATACTTTTTTAAACCGGTTTAAAATTCATACAGAACACAAGTTTTCGTTTAGACTTTACTGACCTAATATCATTGTCGTGAACCTCAGCTCCAGATATGCTGATGCCTACAGCATAACTTGAACTGTCTGTAGACCAGTCCCCTGTGCTGGTAGAAGTAGAATTTTCTGCTTCTCTTCGTAACGCTTCTCTTAGTCTGTCCGCGAAGCTTAGCCGTCTTTCTTCAGTAGACAGCTCTTTGAGGTACTGGAATGAATTGGGACGCGCACTTTCGCCTCGGCCTTCGTCTTCGCTGCCTAAAATTTTTTTTAAAAGACACGTGTCACACACGGCCGTCTGATCCCAACTAGGCTGAGCCTGTACTACGTTAACTAGACTGCTGATAAACATACTTAAATACTTCTAAATACAAACATATTATAGATACATATAAACACATATAAAGACACATATAAACACCGAAAAAATTATCTAGCTCATCACACAATATTGGTCTTGGGTGGGTATTGCACCCACGCTCTAGCTTCGCAGTATCAGATCTTTAATTACTAGACCAACAGGCCGATCTAGTCAAGTCGAACGTTATGCCTAATGTTGGTTGCTTCAGATACGTTGCTATTGGATATTGTATTTTTAAATAAGTTATAATAATTTCAGTTGTTTGAAAGTCTGTATTTACCAGATTGCTGAGAATGTATACCAATCCTAATCCTAAAGCCATCAACTCTAAGTGGTTATTCCTCTATCGTAAGTAACTCCGTGGACTTGAAGGCTAACAAACAAGTGGAGGGTTTATTAGCCTTCAAAATATACATAGTCAGTTTAGATTCAAACAATTTAGACGTACATATAGTGATATATTTTACAGATGAATACAAATCAATAAAGTAACTATTTTTGATTGTCTTTGTCAAAATGATGCAAGCTTTTTCAGTCTGACAACACTTTGTGTAAACAATAATTGATAACTACGCGGATGGCGTATTGGCTTCAGCGGTCAACTCTCCACTTCCTACTGCGCTAAGTGTTGTGGGTTCGATCCCCACATGGAACATCACTTTGTGTGTTCACAAATCCACAAATTGTTGTCTTGAGTCTGGGTGTTCTTTGTGTACATTTCATGTATGTTTGTAAAGTCCCCCGCGACACAGGATTATATTTCTAGTGCGGAAGTTTTTTTTTGCTTAAATGATCGTATTTAAAACTTACCGTAATCATATGTCTCATTCGCACTGTGATACTCCTCTGTGTCTGAAGAATTACAGCTTGAGTACAGACTGTCTTCTTGATGGTCCTCCAAGATGTTGGGTGAACGCGTCACGGGTAGACACTCTCCCGATGAGCCCAGGACTATGAACCGTCCGCGACGGTTGTTTAACATGCCCCCGTCTGGGGATAACCAGCATTTCTTCTTTGTTAATTCTACACCTGCAATATTTTTGAAACATAATAAGATTATACACACTATACATGTCTTAGTATCTTCTTACTGTGTTCTTAGCACGAGCTTTATGACCAGCGAAATTACCACAGTTCGCATTAGCTCAGTTGATAATTGACATACGAAATGGACTTACTAGTTAAAAAAAGATTTTCATTGCAATTGACATTTTGATTTATTTAAACTTGTCGTATGAGTTAATTTATGTAAAAATGAAGTTTTGAAAACTGATCGCTTTGAGACATTAGTCTTTAAAGATACAATGTTGTTATCGCAGAGCAATTGTTGGTCAGCAGCTAGTTTCAGATTCTAAGATCTCCATCAATACATAATGAAGACCACATCTAAATTAGTAGTGTATTTTTGTGTTATATAAACAGACAGACAGACAAATAAAGAAACTACGATTCAATGTTTTGGCAGCTATATTTCTCATATCCGCCAGTTTCATTTTATTATACGTACAGGAAGATAATTATGTATTTAAATAAGTTAGGATAGCATTAGGGTGATCTTAGTCAAGTGCTTAGGTAAGTATTTAAGCAAGGCACTTACTAGGATCGTTAAGATTGAGCGTGGCAGCGCAGTAGTTATGCGGCGAGGGACTGCGACTGTTGTAACTGTTGAGCGTGCTGCACGACGACGCCTGCTTTATCATCACAGTGGCCTCTACTTCTGGCGGTGTATGGCTGCATGACTCACCTGCACATCGACAATTATATTACAGTTTAAACTTTTTTTTTGTTTTTTTATGAAGAGCTTTGGCATATTCATCCGTGTTCGGCCTTACAGAAAACCGGTACCAAGTCTTTCGTTGCTTTTCACTCAGCGAATGATTTTAACGAACACCCAACCTAATTCACGGGTCACTTAAATGATATAAGATGGCTTAGGCGGACGATGAGATTGTTTTACCTATGGGTGAGAGTCTCCTTTCGAGTCGAGTGCCCTCTCTGGCTTTCATGGGCGTTTGCTGGAATGCGAGAAGACACTTGTTGAGTTCTCGCAGCACGTTGTCTTCTTCCCACTGGCCAAGCGGAAGTTTGCTGTAGTCTTCTGCATCCATGAGACACACTGTCACCTGGAGTACGAGCATTCGAAACTTATTTTTTTCTGTAAAGACGTTGAACTCTTGATCGAGAGGAGACAAGTTTAAAACCCTTATATTTTCGTTCAGTATCCCCTATAGGTCATTCACCTCTCCAGGGTGAATAGTAACATTTTGTGTCGGAATCAATCGACTAAAACCAACATCACCGTGTTCTATCAGTAAGTTAAAACAATAATAGACCCTATTTCAGAGAGTTTACCCAAGAAGGAAGTCTGATTTGTAAATAAAAATTCACAGAACATAATTTGAGTATAATATATATTACAAAAAAATAAGCCTGACTTACTTAAATCGTGTCTGGCATCGTGGCATTTTAATTACATTTTGAAAATTAAATTCGAATTTTGATAAGTACCTAGTCAAAAACTACTTAATAATTTTACTTTAATTCTTCACCAACATCACTTACTGTTTTAGGTTCGTCTAGTAATTCGATTTTTGTTTTCTGTCTCTTATCGCAAATTCTGCTAAACAATCTAACTCCTTCCACTTTCAACACCTCATTGTCTTCAAGCGCTTCTACCGACAACATCGCCGGTAAGAGCTCCGGCATCATAAACATAGACAGAGATTCCTGGAATAACGTACATTAATATTTTGATAACAGTATTTTGATATAAAAACTTATTTATAAAGGTTGTCGTTTACCACTTATGGAACGTACCTACTTATACTACGTGGGGTATGGGTGGGGTAGTTGGGGGGTCTACAAATTACAAGGATAGTTCACCGGGGGTGCGGAAGGATTGGGGTTTTCGTCACGTAGTCAGTCTACTATAAGGAAATCTCGCAGTTTTACGAGCTATATTCAAATATGGTGTGTAACGAAGTGTTTAACGATTTTTATTTGCAAAAATAATTTAAAACCATACATATACATATAGCCATTAATTATAACAAAAGAATATCCAGTAGTGTCATTGTTCTAAATAATAATACAGTTCTAAAGTTAAATAATACAAAATAAACAAATAATAATAAAAAATACAAACTATAATATGTCAAATTAATACGTCAAAATTTCTGTACGTAATCTATACTGTATGTCAAAGGAAGATGTAAGTAGTGCATTATTAACATCATTCTACATATTATCTTCCATGTATTCTTTTACCGAATAATAAGTTTTACCAACTAGAATAGCATGTAACTTTTTCTTAAATAAAATAAAGTTATTTTCACTTTTTAAATCTGATGGTATCTTATTATATATTTTTGGGCCCATGCAGAATATTATACTTTTATGAAGTAGTGCAGTTTTAGATGGTCTAATGCATAATTTGTTAATATGGCGTTGCCTTGTACGGTGTTGAAATAAATGTAAATTACACTTAATAAATATAGCTGTTTCGTATACATATAAACAAGGTAAAGTTAGAATATTTAGCTTTCTAAATAAAGGTTTACATAAATCTGTTTGCTTAAGACAGGAAATAGTTCTAATACACCGTTTTTGTGCTCTGACACAGTCTGCATTGGTGGAGTTACCCCACAGTATAACACCGTAGCGAAGAGTAGACGATACATATCGATGGTACGATGTTAAGGCAGTATAAATGTCGACAACTTTAATGAGGTTTCTTAAAGCAAACGAATAACTATTTAATTTTTTACATACATGCTCTGTATGTTGCTTCCATGACATTTTATTGTCTAAGTAAATTCCTAGAAATTTTGTGCTCTGTACCTCTTCTATTACTTGCTCTTTATATTTGATATTTATTTTTTGTGCTGATTGCCTATGCCTACGTTGGATGTTTAACGTCTACTTTTCATGATATTCGTGAGGGACATTCAAGTGTAGATCAGAATTAAATTTTGACCGAATTATTATTACGAGAATTGACCTTCTAAACCATTTCAGAACCTCATTTATTGTCATAAAATTTTCAATATTCATTACCTGTGATTCTCCATCTATAAGCGTGTCTCCGCCAACTCTGCTAGAAGCGAAGCACACTCTGATAGCGTCATCATTCTCACACCGCTCCGGGCGACCCTCGTGCCTCACCAGCAACTTGCACAGAGGCAGACTACACTCTAACCAGTCCTCTATCGTTAACCATTGTTTTGACGACATCACCTAAAATACGAATTGTTTTTAACTTCGAGGGACTACAGTTTTCACTACGGACTTCTCTGTTTCGAAATTATCTTGTAACAATTAAGTGTGTCCGCCGTGGCTACCTGCGCAGTTTGCTCCGTTAGTCGGCTCTTTCGACACCCATTTTATCCATTAGGGATGGCGACACCTCGTATTCTTAATCCGTTGCCACACGGACAGAAGTCAGTATGTACGTTGCGTAAGTTACTTCATATAATATTTAGCTTTAGCTGCTTTTAGAAATTAGGTGCCAGTGAAAGTCCTGTGAAAATCAGTCCAATCGTTTTTGAGCTTAGCCGGAACATTCATTTGGCATAATATAGGTACCGCGTAAATAGCTAAATACATTTAGAAAAAGATGATATTTTGACATACAAATGTTAATAATTTATAAGATGCAAAACAAAGTTTCTGTATCAAAAACCACGAATTTCCTTAACTATGTTAACGCTTTGCATCATTTATGGTCCATCATTTCCGTGAATAAATGTGACTACATTTTTTAATTATCGTAGTAGTACTCGTAAATAAAGGTGTCGAAATTATAAAATTGGAAAATATAAAAATTATATAAAAATAAAAAGAAGCCAGAGAATAACTCTACAGTATCTTTACAATGTAACACAGTTTATGTAGATGTTTTTGTTACACAGTGGACCAACTAACGACAACTACATAGGTAATAATACATAATAATATATATTTAGTTAATGAGCTCACCCAACCGAGCTTAGTCGGGATTACGCACACAGGTTTTCATTGTAATGTAGGGTTTAATTAGCCCTTCTGACGGAGCTTACCTGTCTGCTTAACTTAATAGATCCCTCGTTGCTACTTTTATCTAACCACTCGAAGTAGTAGAGTAAGCTTTTTAATTTGTTTCTTTGTGATTTTCTGAAGAAAAAAACATTTATTACTGTATAATTTGTGATTTATATTTAAAGTTTATTAAGTTACAGATCATGTTTTTTTATTATTATTCTTAAATTTAGAGGTGTTTTCTACTCTATAAACTTCTAATCAGTGTACAAGGGGGACAGAGGGTTCCATGAATCGCATTAGTTGAGACTGTAGTGACATCACACTTGATCTTGGTGAAAGGAAGGATCAGTTGTACAACGAGCCTCCCAGGTCTCGCACCTCTTTTTTTTTGAAAATCTTTGCTAATGGTCTTTGTTTTGCATCGAATATCACATGATATAAATAGAATAGTGATAGGTAATGAAATCAAAAATAATGGCGTCGATGTAACTGCACACATATTATAACTTGTAACAGGACACGTATTATACACATAACTCTTTTACAGTATACGTACATACCTGTGTAAATTCTTAAAAAAATGTGTAAAGTTGAAGTCTTGTAACGTGGGATGTGTCTTGAGCGTCCGCTTGGGATACGTGGAGAAGAACGCGTGCGCGATCATCGAAGCCACAAAGTTATATTCTAGTTCTGTCACGTCACCTGCAAATTTTATTCCAGTAAACAAATATTAAACTTATATAAAGTAACAGGGCTTGGTATTCCGCGTAACGGTCAGTTCGATTTACGACTATGTTCCCTTGACCTGCTAAAATTTTTGTTTATATTCTTTAACACAGGCGAGAGCCTTAAACATACCACAATTTATTCCAAATAGGAAACTAACTTAGAAATAATAAATTGAAATTTAAACATTTCAATTTAAAGTTTAGGACATCGTAGTAGTAAGTGAATTCCTATTGTTCAAATGCCGATGTTTTGAATATTTACAACTTAAAGTTAAACGAGTGAATCTCATAAGTAGACGAAGGGTGAACCAACATACAAGATTCAATAAAAACGCCAAAGACAAGTTCCTTATAGACTGTGGCGGCCTTAGCTATTGCGAGGCCCTTGTCTGTGTGGAATTAGTATTATGATGATATTTGAATCAAAAATGCAATGCAACGAAACTGTGACCACGAACATAAAAACATAAACCGACGACAGTTGACCAGAGTTGCCAACAGTTAAAACACTCTCCACCAGATTCAACGTCTAAAACCACCGGAAAACCACTAACAGAAAACGACCTTACTCTTATAGGCACAAAATTTTCCACTAAACCTTTTTTTTTTGTAATTAGGAAAGAAAACCATAAGTATATTAATAACTAGTTTCCTACATTAAAATTTAATACTGATACTAATCGTTTTTGTCAGCACCATAATCGTGGGTTCCAGATTAATACGATTCTTTGGTACCGATTTGTTTTACAACGTTTATTAGAATTTCATATTTGTTGCAGCATTCTTCTTCCAACTTCAAACCACAGCTTATTCATAACATAGCACATAAAGATTTACCTTCATTCTATTCCTCTGTTAATACCTATGATCTCTCAACTAAACATCGGCATTGAAATGAGGCAGTATTAAGAAGGTAAATGTCGAAGTCCCTTGGGCATCTTTGAAGAGCAATACCTCTAGTCCCATAACGCGTTGGGCATTGGTAGACAACAACGGACCGAGTTTCATTGGTTTGAATAATATAAATCTTCATTTCTCTTCTGCTACTCAATCAGATCATTAAACATAAAGTCGACCCTGGATTATATCGCTAGTTTGCCCAGACCCAACATTGTAAACTTTGAATTTTCTCCTATGCTACCTACTGGTGACAATAAAAAGATCATTCTGTCTGTCTGTTGTAACGCAACGGTTTCCAATCCGTAGGATGATAGTTACCATCTCGAAGTTATAGCCCACGTTATTGATTTCTATCTCGACTCCGAAACCTCTTTCTGGTACAAAGCCTACATCATTGACAAAAATTAATCCTTCTCTTCCTGAGCACTTCTGACCAATCCCTATCCTTTCTTTCCTACCAAACGTTCTTGAGGTTTGCGTGCATAAACAATTCTTACAGTTCAACTTTCAATAGCATTTCTTAACTCCTCTACAATCTTACGATTACTACTAAACCACTAAAATATCAACTAGTCACTAAAGAAAAAATTCGTCACAAAGAGTGGTCGAAACAACTTATTTTAGTGGAAAATCCACTAGGTTGGCAGCACTGCAGTTGACACTAACAGCCTGTCAACATGCCAGCCGATAAGAAACACTGGAAATCCCCGAACATTAATCGAGCGCGAGTAGCGAGACGAGTCCCCTGCATGAGCGAGACCCCAGGCGGTTGCCCTGCTCGCAACCCCTAAAGGCCGCCCCTGCTATTGAGGTCCTTTTCAATTTTCAAGTTTATTATTTGTTGTTATAGCGGCTATAGAACTAAGTACCTATACCCAAAAATTTTAATTGCCACAGACAGACGGACAGTGGAGGTTAATGACATTAGGTCACAATTTTCCAAATTCAACATCAGCAGGCCGTTGAACACCAATCGGAGCAATGCATGTTTGCCAACAGTAGGGGGACGATGGGGGCCTCGTTGGAACAATCCATGATGATTACGATACTGTCGCTAAGATGGGGCATCATCAAACATGTGCTAAAATAAAAGAGTTCCTTTACCACGCATCGGGTATGAAATCTAGAAAGCATTTTTATCACTTGGTTGCAGTTGCGCAATCGCGATTAACTTATTATTATTGTTGTAAATAAATACGTGTAATCATAGAGTACATAATTTGTTGAGTGAACAAATAGGGAATATGCACGTGACACCAAAATGGACAAAATATTTTTATTTGTAATTTTTATTGCTAAAAAAAGATACCCATACATTTTTTTTTAAATTTATTATAATTTAATAGTGAAATTTAATCATCAAAAATTGGCTTTTTTAAGATTCCCTCGCAAATTTCTAAAACGCAACGCTATTGGTTGAATAAAACGTGACGTCAACCTACACTGTCAAGAGTGTCAACAAGTTGTGTGTATTTGTAATATTTGGTTTCTGGTGATTATTTGTTTCATTTTAAGTTAATAACTAATACGTTTTCAGTGTTAAATTATTAAATTCCCGTGTAGAAAGACTCAACACAATGACTGAATATACTTTGTCAGGTGCAGTTTTGATTGGTTTAATATTTATAATAAGTTTTTATTGGCTTTCCATGGTAATAAGTTAATTTTTATCACTCACTTTTTTTAGACGTGGTCTCTTACTATGGGCCTAATCAGAAAGCTCAGAGTCGCTCAGCGTGCTATGCAAAGGGCTATGCTTGGCGTTTCCCTGCGTGATCGAATCCGCAACGAGGAGATCCGCAGGAGAACAAAGGTGGTCGACATAGCCCAACGGATTAGCGCGCTCAAGTGGCAATGGGCAGGGCACATAGCAAGGAGAACTGACGGCCTATGGGACAGCAAGGTTCTCCAATGGAGACCACGTACTGGAAAGCGCAGTGTGGGACGACCGCCTACCCGATGGACGGACGACCTGGTAAAGGTTGCCGGAAACCGTTGGATGCAGGCCGCAATCAACCGTCCCCGCTGGAAATCATTGGGAGAGGCCTATGTCCAGCAGTGGACAAGCATAGGCTGAGACGACGACGACGACTTTTTTAACTTTCAGAAACTTTGTGAACCTCACTCCGTTGTTGACATCGAATTCGTCTGAAAGTGTAATCTGACGTCACAAAAAAAGCGCGCCAAAATGGACGTGTTCAAATTACCCCAAAATGATAGTGATTTTAATAATTTTTTTTTGCTTAACAGTTTATATTTCGGATGTGTTATATTTATTTTTGGTAATGTAATAACTAGTAGAATCGTTAAAAAAAATAAAAAAATACATGCATATTCCCTATTACAACAATTAGTATTGTTAAATGAGTCTTGAGATTTGTAATAGTACTCATAAGTAATGAGAATAATAATGTAATAAGAAAATTTGCAATTTTTATTTTCAGTTTCAGTTTTAGTAGGCCAAAACCTCCTTTCTAAGGAGAGGCCTATGTCCAGCAGTGGACTAGTATAGGCTGTTGATGATGATGATTTTCAGTACCTCTTTACTTTCTTAGGATTTAGCAGATATGAAAGATTTAAGTGAACTCCGGTTATTTCTAATGATCGATTTTTTTTAAGGTCACAAGCGAAACACCTCGATACCTACTTTGTTGCTGTAAGCTGAACATGAGACCTTTAGGTGGTCGCCAGCGTTTAAGATAAAGTGCCTTGTTCACCATTATCCTTATAGTGTTATCGAGAAAATGCCTCCGTTCTTCTTCTGTCATCTCCTCTTCCAAGAATTGTTCTAGGCCTTTTAGCAACTCGGGATCTTTGATGTCGTCGTCAGGATCTATGCCTATGCTGCAGGAAATGATATGAGTGTTTAGGAACTAATATAAAAAACAAGCCAACCTTACAGTAGTCGCATAATGATGTATAACACCGGACATCCTGACCCATCATCAATAATTGGCCAAATCATATTGCGCACGTTTCCCACGCTTCTTAAATCTTTTCTACAAAATCGCTCCCACAGATTAAAGAAAAATGTTACTCATCAACAATACCGTGCAATTTTTTTCTTTTTTTTTTATTGCTCGGCACCATTCGTGCATTGGGCCAGTGTCAAGTATTTTACATTTTTTCAACAAAGCGAACATGCAATATAAAATGTTACATGTTATCAGGTTTTAATTCAAACCCGGTAAAAAAAAATCGGTTGAAATACAAAGCTATTTACTTCTTTGAATTTTTTACCTACCACAGACGGCTTTTTAACATGCATCCATAGCCCTGTTCCTTAATCAACTTAACTAAAGAATGGTAAGCGATGAGTAGATAATCAATTTTCACAGCAGTATTTTAGTAATGCATGCCATGATAGTAAGACAACGTTTAAAAACGTCAACGTCTAAAACGTCGAAAATTTCACTACATAGCTAATCATAACAATATGACTCTTAATAATGTAATCTGTAGGTACTTACTTGCACATGTCATGTATTTTCAACATGCTAGCAGAAAGTTTAACGGGTGAAGATGTAAGAAGCAGATGCTTTAAGTGCCGCTGCACTGACGTCCACCAGGGAAGATCACAGGGTAACATTACGAGCGCCATTCTAAAATAAATATATAGATTTAATGTTTTAATACATGTTACATATTTTTATTCCAATAAAGAACTAACTCTTATGTGACAGATATTCAAGGGAAAGCTTTAATACATTTATAGTGTAATAAAAATACAATTAGTGCCATCTGATTTTCATAAACAACAGAAATTTCAGTTTTATAAAACCACTATCTGTATAAAGTAAGATCTAGGAACCTGGTCAAATGGTCGTATTGGGTCGTAAATTTGGTGGTATTAGGTTTTGAAATAGAGTGCGTTCATTATTATTATGTAAAGTAAAAAGTCTTGACTCTAAAAAATAAAGTTTATATATAATATTGATATGTATAACATGTTATTTATAGTAAATCAAACCTAGTTGGCAACAAATCAATAAGATATAATGTTGGACGCATTTAACCGAACTGCGACTGTAACTAGTTGTTTCACGGTTTCACGAACGTTCCTCATGCCATTTGACATTTGAATTTGTCACTTGACTGAAGTTTTCAAATGTGAGTTTAGTTTTGTGAGGTGCAGTGTTTCTTTAAACTTATTAATATTTTTGCATGGTTAAAGTTCAATTTTAAGTAGTTATATTGAATTAGTATTGTAACGATTGTAAATAAGAATACAGTCACAGCAATATTATATATAGTTTCATTCATTAAACAAACGAATTCAATGTTACGAAATAAACAAGAAAGTTGTGTGATTTATCAAACTGGTTTTTACGAGCTATAAAGATGTTACAGCGGAGTTTTGTCTTATTCACATTATTATCGATCGAGGTCATTATGACTTGTAGTTGTGAACATGTTATAGATAAAACACAATCGCAGAGTGAGCAGTAGTATCAACGTATCAAAGTACAAAGGTCGACCCTTTAAAATGTCTGTGAAGAATAAATTATTAAAAGCATTAATTCTTGGCGCCCCTGCTTCGGGTAAAGGGACGATATCGTCGCGTATAGTAAAGAAATACAATATAGCCCATGTGTCATCTGGTGATAAATTAAGAGACCACATTGAAAAGCAAACTGATTTAGGTAAGACCGTGAAAACTTTCTTAAATGAAGGGAAACTAGTGCCGGATGATGTGATGATAAAATTCATGGTAACTGAGCTGAAAAAAGTTGAGGATCAACCTTGGTTATTGGATGGTTTTCCAAGAACCGTAGGCCAAGCTGATGCTTTGTGGAAAGTTCAACCTGTGGATGTGGTTCTAAACTTAGTAGTGCCATTTGAAGTTATAATAGATAGGGTTAAGAACCGTTGGGTACATTTACCTTCAGGAAGAGTGTATAATATAGGATTTAACACCCCCAAAGTTAAAGGTAAAGATGACATAACAGATGAAGCTCTTGTACAAAGGCCAGATGATAAACCTGAGGCTGTTCAGAAGAGATTGGAGATATATGAGAGTGTCACACGGCCTGTAATTGAGTTTTATACGGCAAAAGGAATACTCAAAGAATTTCATGGACGCACATCAGATGAAATTTGGCCAAAAGTAACAGCATATTTAGATGCTATTTTTGCTAAGGTTTAGGTATAGTTTTGTTAGGATCAGATTGGTGCTTCAATTGTAGAATTAAGATGACATGTCATACAATATTTGGTGCAATATACAATTTTTAAGATGTTTGTCATATTTTTATAATTAATACTGGACCTAGCTAATGGTATGTGTTATGTATTATATTTCAACTCTGATATCAACACACATTGTATTACAACACAAACTATATTTATTCAATTTAGTAAATATCTGAATTATTAGTTCAAGTTTAGGGCGCTGTAGGTCAAACTAATAGAATATAGTACTACTACAAGTACGCATTCAGCTTACCTGACCCATGTTTAAAATACCACCATGTTTTGAATGTATTTGTGTATCCTGCAAATTTAATTCCTTTATCAAACATTACCCTATCCATATCCTTGAATGATCTTTTTAGTGTTCCCACCAACAAAAACTTTTTAACTATGTAAGATATTTTAGATTTAGTTATTATAAGTACATCTAAGGAGAGTAACAATTCAGAACATATTTGCATCCTTGCCAGAACCCTAAATTTTAAATCAAAGTAAAAGTAAATAATAAACTGTCGAGGAGAGTAGATAGATCATAATATATTTTATTGGAACTTGCTGAGTTGAGATTAATATTGTGATGATAAAGATATTTGAATTTGGTATTTACATGGTAGTGCAAAAAAAATCAACAAAAGAGAATTTAAGTGTACACAAACTATAAAATTCATATACATGTTACATTTAACTATACAGTATAACTATTGAAGTAGAGTGGATGTCATAGACAGAATATATTATCTATTGTTATTAATCAAGATACTTGTAGAAAGCTTATCTCTCTCTAAAGTGTATGGTTTGCACTTTATGAGAGAGAAATTAAAACATGACACTTTTTTCAATTATTATTTTATACACAAAACATTAATATTAAGAGAATGCAATTGATGTTTCTTTTATATATTTATTTATTTAAATTCATTGTTGAAAGTATGATATTTCATATTCTATATTTATGTAACTTTCAAGTTAGTAGCTTTAAAAATCACTGGCGGCAGTTAGCATCTGTCAATCAACCAAACAACAATCAAAACAACAGTAGTCTTTGGACATTATTTTTTTCTTATATGGATATTGTGTACAACTAATTACAATCATGCTATGTAATGTATTGCCTGTTTAAGGGTCACAATGCTTTGTGTGTATTTTTAGTACTGTGACTTTACTGTGACTTTTTTGTAACTACAAATAGTATGTTAGTAAGAGCTCAATCTATTGTCAAAAATATGTAACTCTGAAAATTCCATACAAATTGAAGTTTGCATTAACAAAAGTATGTGTATTAATGTAGTGATTATCAAAGAGTCCCAAAATTTGAATGAAAATATGCCTACATAATAGTCATAAAAAATGTAGTTTGTTGTAGATATAGATTATATATATAGAGATTATATATATAGATTACGACAGTTTTAACTAGACGTTTTCCTAGTCTTCCTGTTTGAAATGTACTTACATTGTTAACGTAGTCTTTAGAAATCTATATCGAAAATAGTGCCTTAACAGGGGCTAATATATAATAATTATTGTATCAATGTATAGTAAATCTAGTATGTAGTTGCTCAACAATGTCAAAGAGCTCAAAAATTAAATCAGAATGAATGTTTGGTTATTTAGTGCATTATTATTATTATGTTGTTATACCTACTATATTTTACACTTGTTTGTTGGTTTTGTGATATAAATGTTGCAGTCGTTTATATATTGTTTTTTTTTTAATTCATATCTACATATGTACTTTGTTGATCCACATATATGTATTTAAAGATTATGCTGATATCTGCGGCTCTGTCAGCTATCGGTAATCGCTATCGGTAATTGCTATCGGTGTATATTTAATAACAGTCTTCACAGTTTATGTTAACAATCAAGGTCTCTGATTAAAAAAAACATGTTTTTGTGCGCTTGCATACCAAACGCAGGCTAAATCTTATAAGATAGATAAAAACAATTTACTACGGAATTATAAATGTATTTTAAAAATTTGTAAAAAAAGTCCGCGATGTTTCGAATGTCTATATCCTAAAGAAAACCCACAGTAACCATTTTGTCTTTTAAATAATGGGTAATTTACGAAGCTATTTTAACTAATACAGCATTATTCCTTATCCAAATGAATACGTTAGATACGTTGTGTTTTTAATGCAGATCAAAATTGCCATTTACAGCAGTGATTTAAAATACGGGGACAAAGCCTACTTCCGTCTCGGATGGTAGCGGCCGGTCTCATATTAATAGTATAATTAATTACTCCACACATTGCACTCGTGCGAGCCGAGGCGGATAGCTAGTAAACCAATATACAAATGTATGTAGTACCTATACTACTACTACAGGAAACTCGACGACATTAATTGTAGTTCATAGATTATATAGGATACCAGGAAAAGGAGTATTCTCAAAAAAAAGCCAACCGAGAAATTTCGACGGATTTTGGTTCCTCTCGGTACCTACATCATGTTAATATAATCAAAATGCAACAGCTGAGACCGTGCCATTATTTAGTAATTTGCTGTTAAAGTTGCAAAAACGTAGTTTTTTGCTGTTATAAATTTTCTTCGACTTTTCACGAAGCACTGTATTAAATGAAAGTTGTAGATATTAAAAATATCTACAAAATGAGACTTGGTACGTTCCAATTGGTTATTTTGTTTTTTTACAACATGCAAAAAACTGCTAAAAATCGTTGTTTTTTGAATATTTTTTTAAATAGACCATTATAAATATAGGCTTACCAAACTTTGGTAAATCATAGGCTTTGATGTGTAGTGTGTTTTTTTTTGCGTAGTTCATTGCATAATGTTTGCATAAAGCCATTTATTAATTAGATAAGCTCGAGGAGATAAAGCGAAATTTTGCATTAGTTTTGCAATAAATTTCAATATTTTTTTTAAACTCCTAAAGAGTTTTTGCATTGAAACTAGTCTTGTTATTCCATTTTGCAAGGCGCCCTTAAAAAACACTTGGTCATAAACACAGATTCAAAGCACAACTCTTAAGGAAAAGAATAAGCCTAAATACAACATTGTACGACTTTCCAAAGCTGTAATAATTTAGTTGCAAAAAACCACTTTTGTTTTTGAATAATCTTGTGACTATTCATTTGGTCTGTTTTTTTAAATACATACATATTGTATACCACATATATACGTTTGCACGTTTTGTATTCTTAGGTAAGAATACAAACAAGGATAAGGACAGCAGGTTTATTTCTTAGATTGGGCCAACCGGGAATGGAAACCGGTAACGTTTAATTTTACTTTTGTTTTGTTTGCACTTGGATTACTTTGGTGCAAGGACTAGGTAATAATTACCTATTATCAACTGGAGGGTTAACATGAGGGTATACTCATTCCACGCAGTCACCGAGACGTGAGATGCCGCGGTGGCCACCGCGGATGTCATACGTACCACATTTTTTTTATTGTTCTGGACATATTGTCATAAATAATGCACTAGAATTATATGTATAAATGGAAGCTATCTATATTCTAGATATAAGGTCAATGTTTTTTGTTCCATACTTTCTTTGGGAAATATAAAAATAATAGAACCTAATTGTTTTAGGACCTAATAAACATTTATACTGAAATATGTCCACAAATTCAGTCAACTCAGTAGTATAAATTATTACTTATTTAAAAATTGTTTAACTTAAATTGGAATTGTTTTGTATTTGGATCAAATCATGCAAAGTTGCGTTCTCTAGTCACAGAAAGTCAGTTTCACTGCCAAAATGCACTACTTAGATATTGATGCTTTAGCTTTAAAAATATTGAGACAGCTTCAACATTATAGTAGTATAGTAGGTTTTATTCTGTATCATTTGCGTAGCATATGTATCTGTAAGATACTTATATATCTTCAGTATATTTTTAGCTCTTGGAAAAGATAATGGTCATACATCCCAGCTTGTTAGTACGGCATGCTATCCGGATTACTTAATTGTAGTAAGACCGTGCAAAAACTACCCAAGTAGGAAACTGACGGTGCGAGTTCAACGTGAGCGTGAGATTAAAAAGCAGACGAGAAAAATATCTACTAACAAACACTAATAGCAGTGATATATGCCCACCAGCTAGTTCTGCAAACCTATACCAGAGACGGGAAACGTCGAAAGCAATTGATGATTATTAATAAGAAAATTACATTGATCTCGCAAAAAAACAATCAAATATATTACAGAGATTTAATCTAAAACATCTTCGAAAACCTTTAATAGTAAGACAGATTTGTGTTTGTTTACGTTACGTACGTATGTGCATTTTCACCTGTGTGGAATGTGAGGTACATTCATGTGGCAATCCACACAGGTGAAAATGCATCAACACTACCTAGGTATGTCTACCTTACTATCCTGCAGTTTTATGTTCTAGACATTGGATACTGTGTGATTGCCTTACAAAGTACTTGAAGTATAATTATTTTACAATACAGAAACATATTTTTTTATTCAGATACATCTAACAACATCAGAAACGAAAATATCTCCAGCAATAAGGTTTAGGTACCTACTATGAGTGAAAACAACGACCACGTTGCGTGACAAATGTAATATAAGGGTACAGAGACATAAGAATCTATACTGAATATTTTACATAAAATGTTATGAAGATTTAGTAAAGTAGTACTGTAATTGTGTAGGTATATAATTACCTTATTGCGAATACGTTGTAGTTCAGGCACAATTTTTATAAACACAATAACACCATGAGTCACTGCCGCTTTGCGACTATCGGCTTCTTTTTACGCATTTTTCTCATTATTCACTATTAAACAGTACACTGCTAGTCTTTTGCATATAGAATATCTTAATGCTTTTCTATAAGACAGAAATAGTGTAGGGAGAAACGCGGACCGGCTGCGGGCAGACACGAGCGCGCAAACCCCGACTATTTTTAGCTGCTTTCGTGCATCGACGCTGAAATTAGATTGTAAATAAAAAGTTTGGGTTAA